CCCCCAACAGATGGCATCCAGCCTCTGTTTGAAAGCCTCCAAAGAAGGAATCCCCACAACACTCCTGGACAGAGAGTTCCACTGCTGAAAAGCTCTTGTCCCACTTAGGAAATTCTTCCTAATGTTCATCATCATCATCATCGTTATTTAATTACTTATTAATCACCCTCCATCCAAGATGTTCTAGGCGATTTACAAGCTAAATTGTAAAGGATAAAAATACATACATACAGATATTGATAAAATTAACATAGATCAAAAGTTCTAGTAAAAAGCCAGGTCTTAAGTGCTAGGGTAAAAGGCCCTAACTCATGCATGGCTCTCATATAGGGCGGCAAGGAATTCCATAAGGCAGGGGCAGAAATAGAAAAAGCTCTGCGTCTGGTAATGTTCAAGTAGAATCTCCTTTCCAGTAGTTTGAAGCCATTGTTCTGTGTCCTAGTCTCCAGGGCAGCAGAAAACTAGCTTGCTCCCTCCTCCCTATGGCTTCTCCTCACATCTTTGTATATGGCCTTCATCATGTCTCCTCTCAGCCTTCTCTGCTGCAGGCTAAACATGCCAATCTCTTTAAGCTGCTCCTCATAGGACTTGCTCTTCAGACCCTTGATCATTTGAGTCACCCTCCTCTGGACACATTCCAGCTTGTCAACATCTCCCTTCAATTGCAGTGCCCTGAATTGGACACAGTGTTATTCCAGGTGTGACCTGACCAAGGCAGAATAGAGGGGTAGCATGGCTTCCCTGGATCTAGATACTATATCAGTTGATTGTGTTAGTTTTGCAATAGTCATTCCAACTCTCCTCTCCCCTCCCCTCCTGCTGCTGAAAATTTCAAGGTTCAGCTTGCATAACAGGTAATAGCAGGCATTTCCTTCTCCTGTGTCAGGATATCCTGGCGCCCTTCAGTCTCTCTCTCTCTCCAACTCTGTTTAAAACAGACTGTAGCACAACAAAAAGACTCTAATCTAAAATTAGCAGGGTGATAGAAGAAAGGCACACGGCTGTCCTCTGTACTGTTTGTCAATGAAACAACAAGTTCTAAACGGGGGCCAGAATGCATTTCCTCCTGATGAAAAATAGGAGAGTGTGGTTTTGCTCAGCCTGAGGATAGAGCAATAGGAAGAGAGCTTCAAGCTGTTTTTCAAGAGAACTAAGTGTGGGATAATAGAGGGAGGTTGCAAGATTTGCAAGCAGCTTAATGTCCTTAAAGTGAGTGAATGGTTTCTATAGACACATTGTTAACATACGATTTTTGGGACTTTATTCAGCGGGGAATGGTTTCTATAAACACATCGTTAACATATGATTTTCAGGACTTCATTCAGCAGGGATAGACATTACCATAGAATCTTAGTGTTAAAAGGGGTCCAGTGGACCAATAGGCCCAGCTTCCTACTTAATGTGGGGTTTCCATCCAGAGCACCTAAAGCAGGTACATCTAGAGTAAGAGATCCCACCATCTTGCAAGTGGTTTCCATGCTCAACTGCCTTTTCTTTCAAAATTTTCTTTCTAATGTTCAATTGAAATTTACCTTCTGCAGTTTAAAATCATTAGACTTAGTTCTACCTTCTTAAGGCAACAGAGAAAAAGCCTACACCAGTGGTTCTCAACCTGTGGGTCCCCAGATGTTTTGGCCTTCAACTCCCAGAAATCCTAACAGCTGATAAACTGGCTGGGATTTCTAGGAGTTGTCGACCAAAACACCTGGGGATCCACCGGTTGAGAATTATTGGCCTACACCTTCCTCTTTGTCTCAGCCTGTGAAATATTTAAAGAGTGCAATACTGTCACCTCTCAGTCTTGTCTTCACCAACTTGAAAATGTCCAGGTTCCTCAATCTCTCCTTGTGTCCTTGTTTTCCATTCCTTTTATCATGCTCATTGCATTTCTCCGAATTCATTTCAGCTTGTGTATATCCTTAATATGAGTTGCCCACAATTGAACACAATCCTCTGGATGAGGCCTGATCATAGGAGAATATAGAGGAACTATTACTTCCCTTGACTTGCAAGCTACTGTTCTTCTCTGTATCTGCACCATATAGCTACATATGGTCTCTGCATCATACAGATACATTTTGCATCCATTTCTGTGAGGTCATAGGTATTCACAGCTACAGGTAATCTTGTTTTATTCTCGATCTCTGTGTCTCACACGGATGGATACAAAACCTATTTCTGAGGGCAGAGATGACCATTCAGAGAATCATACTTAAAGGCAAGCAATCTGTTATTCTATCAATGACTTTCTTTGCTGCAGCACCACACTTCTGATTCATGTTTATCTTATAACCAACAGTAATCCCAACAAACCTTTCACATGTATTACTGCTGGGCCAAGTGGCCCTTGCCCCATACCTATGCATTTGGATTTTGTGGCACAAATGTAGAATGTTGCATGTACCTCTGTTTAATTTTGTTTTGTTAACTTCAGCTCTTTTTTATCATGGTCTCTTTGAATTCTGTTCTCGTCTTGCATTGTGTTAGCTGCCCCTCCCAGTTTTGTATCATCTGCAGATTTGATAGGAATTCTCTCCACCCTATTGATAAAAATATTAAAGAGTGTCAGCTGCTGGACAGAGCCCTACAGCAGATAATTACTTGGATACTTCAAAAGACAGGAGCAGAATTCAAAATGATTTAGCAAAATACTTCACTTAGGCAGAAAAAAATGAAATACAAAGATACAGAACGGGGGCGCCTTGCTTGACAGCAGTATGTGTGAAAAAGATTTTGGAGTTCTCATGGACAGGAAGATGAACAGCCAACAATGTCACGCGGTGGATAAAAAAGCCGATGGGATTTTGACCTGCATAAATAAGTGTCTAGTGTCTAGATCAGGGGTCCTCAAACTTTTTAAACAGAGGGCCAGGTCACAGACCCTCAAACTGTTGGAGGGCTGGATTATAATTTGAAAAAGGCATGAATGAATACCTATGCACACCGCACATATCTTATTTGTAGTGCAAAAAAACTTAAAAACAACACAATAATTAAAATGAACAATTTTGACAAATATAAACTTATTAATATTTCAATGGGAAGGGTAGACAGCTTTTGGCTGATGAGATAGAATTGTTGTTATTGTTGTTGTTGTGTGTTTTCAAGTCATTACAGACTTCGGTTCGCCCTGAGCGATAGCCAGGTAAATGACCTTGGAGGGCTGTATCTGGCCGCCGGGCCTTAGTTTGAGCACCCCGGTCTAGATCCAGGGAAGTCATGCTACCCCTATATTCTGCCTTGGTCAGACCACTCCTGGAATAGTGTTTCCAATCAGTTCTTGTGGGTTTTTTCAGGCTATATGGCCATGTTCTAGAGGCATTTCTCCTGACGTTTCGCCTGCATCCGTGGCAAGCATCCTCAGAGGTGAGGTCTGCTGGAGCTGGGGAAAAAAATATATCTGTGGAAAGACCAGGGTGGGACAAAGGGCTTTTTGTAAGTTGGGCTAGGTGTGAATCTTTCAAACGACCACCTTGATTAGCATACAATGGGCTGACTGTGCCTGGAGCAAACTCTTCTTAAAGGGTGATTAGATGTCCCTGCCTGTTTTTCTCTCTGCTGTTTTTGCTGTTGCAATTTAGCAAAAACAGCAGAGAAAAACAGGCAGGGACATCTAATCACCTTTCAAGAAGAGTTTGCTCCAGGCACAGTCAGGCCATTGTATGCTAATCAAGGTGGTCAGTTGAAAGATTCACACCTAGCCCAACTGACAAAAGTCCTTTGTCCCACCCTGGTCATTCCACAGATATATAAACCCATTTTTTCCCCAGTTCCAGCAGACCTCACCTCTGAGGATGCTTGCCATAGATGCAGGCGAAACGTCAGGAGAAATGCCTCTAGAACATGGCCATATAGCCCGAAAAAACCCACAAGAACTGAGTGATTCAGGCCATGAAAGCCTTCGACAATACAATGTGTTTCCAATGTTTCCACCGCAATTTAAGGGAGATGTTGACAAGCCGGAATGTGTCCAGAGGAAAGCAACTAAAATGATTATGGGTCTGGAGAACAAGCCCTATGAGAAGAGATATAAAGAGCTGGGCATGCTTAGCCAGCAGAAGAGAAGGTTGAGAGGAGACATGATGAGGGCCATGTATCAAGATGTGAGGGGAAGTCATAGGGAGGAGGGAGTGAGATTGTTTTCTGCTGCCCTGGAGACTAGGACACAGAACAATGACTTCAAACTACAGGACAGGAGATTCCACCTGAACGTTAGGAAGAACCTCACTTTGAAAGCTGTTCAGCAGTGGAACTCACTGCCCTGGAGGGTGGTGGAGGTTTCTTTTCTGGAGGCTTTAAAACAGAGGCTGGATGGCCATCTTTTGGGGGTGCTTTGAATGCGATTTTCTTGCTTCTTGGCTGGGGGTTGGATTGGATAGTCCACGAAGTCTCTTCCAATTCTATGATTCTATAATTCTCTCATTCAATTTGAAGCACTACTACTGATGATAACTCTTTGAGAATGGTTTTTCAACCAATTAAGAATCCATCTGATGGTGTTATCATCTATTCCATATTTTGTCAGTTTGCTAATAAGACTATCACGGGTTAACCTTATCAAATGCTTTGCTGAAATCCAGATAAAACACATCCACAGACTTCCCCAATCTATTAATCCTTTTTAAACAGTATAAATTAAAAACTAGCCATCTCTGAGGAGAAACACAAATTGTTAAACAACCTATTAACAATACACAAAGTGACAATGGTGATCAAGGGTTTCAAATTAGATAAGGCACCAGGACTAGATGGCTTCACTGCAATCTGTTATAAAGCAGTAGCATATGAAATTGCTCTACCCCTCCACAAAGTTTTGAATGAGATACTAAAAAAGCATATCCCAGAGACATGGCAAGAAGCAAAATTACATCAATCATGAAAAATGATCAGGCTCTCTTGCAAGTCCAGAACTACAGACCTGTTGGTTTGGTTTCACATGAAACTTTTGAAAAACTCTTGAACAGAGAAGCACTTCTAAACCTGCAAAATAATTTACTTACTGGCAAGCTGAAAGACGGCAGCGGTGGCTTCTTCCCACCATTGTGTATCCTGAGAAATAATGGGCAGTTCAACCAGTCCCATTACGAAGAGAAGCTGACCAGCTGTCAAAGCGACTGTGGCAATCACGTTACAGGCCCGCATCATGTCGAATTGCACTGTTACAATGAAAGGTGAAAGTGCATTATATTAATTGAGAAGTCAAAGGAGTTACCGGTCATTGCAAGAAGCATGCGCTGTCTTTGCAAATCATAAAAATGTTATTTATTTATCATTTCATTTTTGTCCTTCCTCTCAATGTTTTCTCTCTCAGAGCACATTTGAGTATTTATGTTATTTAAAAGCATTTCCCAAAAAATACCCATTTTTAATCAAGTGGATACAAATTGATTATCCCAATACAAAATAGAATAGCTTCACTTACAAAAATGTACTTTGGCAATACATATACTAGAAAAATTTCACCAAACAAACTTGTTCCTGGTGATGTTTATTCTTTCAGTCGCTTCCGACTCTTCGTGCCCTCATGGACCAACCCACGCCAGAGCTCCCTGTCGGCCGTCACCACCCCCAGCTCCTTCAAGGTCAGTCCAGTCACTTCAAGGATCCCATCCATCTTGCCCTTGCTCTTCCTTTTTCCTTCCATTTTCCCCAGCGTCATTGTCTTCTCTAAGCTTTCCTGTCTTCTCATGATGTGGCCAAAGTACTTCATCTTTTCCTGTAATATCCTTCCCTCCAACGAGCAGTCAGGCTTTATTTCCTGAAGTATGGACTGGTTGGATCTTCTCGCGGTCCAAGGCACTCTCAGAATTTTTCTCCAGCACCACAGTTCAAAGGCACCTATCTTCCTTCGCTCAGCCTTCCTTATGGTCCAGCTCTCACATCCGTAGTTTACTATGGGGAATACTATTGCTTTAACTATGCGTATCTTCGTTGCCAGTGTGATGTTTCTACTCTTCACTATTTTACCAAGATTGGTCATTGCTCTCCTCTCAAGAAGTAAATGCCTTCTGATTTCCTGGCTGCAGTCTGCATCTGCAGTAATCTCCACACCTAGAAATACAAAGTCTCTCACTGCCTCCACATTTTCTCCCTCTATTTGCCAGTTATCAATCAGTCTGGTTGCCAGAATCTTGGTTTTTTTATGTTTAACTGCAACCCAGCTTTTGCACTTTCTTCTTTCACCTTGATTAGAAGGCTCCTTGGCTCCTCGCTTTCGGCCATCAAAGTGGTATCATCTGCATATCTAAGGTTGCTAATGTTTCTTCCAGCAATTTTAACCCCAGCCTTGCATTCGTCAAGCCCCGCACATCGCATGATGTGTTCTTCATACAAGTTGAATAGGTTGGGTGAGAGTATACAACCCTGCCGTACGCCTTTCTCAATCTTAAACCAGTCTGTTGTTCCATGGTCAGTTCTTACTGTTGCTCCTTGGTTGTTATACAGATTCCTCAGGAGAGAGACAAGATGATTTCGTATCCCTATACCACCACGAACTTGCCACAATTTATCATGATTCACACAGTCAAAGGCTTTAGAATAGTCAATAAAACAAAAATAGATGTTTTTCTGAAACTCCAGCGGATATTGGCAATTTGGTCTCTTGTTCCTTTGCCTTTTCTAAACCCAGCTTGTACATCTGGCAACTCTCGCTCCATGTATTGTTGGAGTCTTCCTTGTAGGAACTTGAGCATTACTTTACTGACATGTGAAATAAGTGCCACTGTAAGAAAGTTTGAGCATTCTTTAACATTTCCCTTTTTGGTATGGGAATATAAGTTGATTTTTTCCAGTCTAATGGCCATTCTTGCGTTTTCCATATTTGCTGGCACGTGGCATGCATCACCTTGACAGCATTATTTTTCAAGATTTTGAACAGTTCAGGTGGGATCCCGGTGTCTCCTGCTGCCTTGTTGTTCACAGTAATTCTTAAGGCCCATTAAACCTCACTCCTCAGGATGTATTGTTCCTAATAAATCGGTCATTAAATCGGTTATTTAACCTATTCATGCAAAATCCAGATCCTTAAAGAACTACTGTCTAATTGCAAGAACATTTGGATTTTCCTGAACATAACTAGTTCAGTGTTATAGACAGTATCTCAAAAGGTATTCTAACAAAAGGTATAACCCTCCAGGTTATAATATGTATGTCATAGTTGCAAAGTATGGTCCTCCAGAGATTGTTGGCCTTCAAATCCCAGCATTCCTTGCTTATCATTGGTTTTATGGGTAGAGATGATAAAAGCAGGATTCCATCCCTCTAGAGAGGTGTGCTGTGCACACTCCAGGTGTAAGTCATCATAAACACTTTCCCAATAAAGCTGAGTAACAGGACAGCTCCAAAAGCATGGATCAGATCCGATCTGTATCAGATCTAGAGTTATATTCTTCCAGTACTCCAAAGTGGACTCAATACATATCATTTTTCCTCACAATGAGTCCATATTTCACCTTTCTAAGACTTTGTAGCAAGTTGACAAAATACGTATTGACCTTAAATTCTTCTCCCTCATTCGGAATGTAAAAACTTTCAAACCAGGGAGATATTCATTGCTGTTACTAATTTTTTTTTATCTATAGGAATTATCTCAATTTGTTAACCAAATCCAGCAACTTGTGGCATTTTTGCTTTTCATAGTACCCTATATGATATTTACTGAATGCCCTTGATATTTATAGTTATAAATATAAATATTTTTAAATTAATAGCATTAGTTGTTAAGTATGTTTTATTTGTGCTTGGCTTCTCTCTTCATATTGTTTTATGTGTTTGCAGATGTCTTTGTCCACCATGCCTATTTACTAGAAATCAGTTTACACTGGATTATGTTCTCAGAAATAAGCTCTGCGTTTTCCTATTTTTTTCTTTTAAATTGATTTATTTCCTGTTTTCAGCCTCTTCCTTCCTCTCTCTCTTGGATTCATAAGCACCACTGTGTCAATACACCATCATATCATGTTGCTGCTCTCTCTCTCTCTTTCATATATAATCTCTTCTTATATGAATAGTCAAAAGTTAGAACCTTAGTTTTATAGAGCTACTCAGTGTTTTGTCAAGTACTACCATCAGAGATCTAAAACATACTACATTTGTTTTTGTCAAACCCATTCAGTGTGTTGTTAGGATTATTTCACGTGACTGTTAATCATTATGCTTCTTTATATCCCAGGCTATGCCAGAGTTGGGCAAATATCGATATGGGTATGGTTCTGTCTATCTATCTATCTATCTATCTATCTATCTATCTATCTATCTATCTATCTATCTATCTATCTATAGAATTACAGCTTCCATCAGGCCTTAGCCATTAGAGCCAATGGTAAGGGATTATCAAAGTTCTATTCTGAAAACATCTGGAGAGCCACAGCTGGCAACTTCTCAGATATGCAGCCATTTTAATGAGTAGAGTAAGAGTTCAAACTGAGGCCCCATCTATACCACACTGCCATATAATATATGGTCTGCGTAGACCAGTGGTTCCCAACTTTTTTTTTAACCAGAGACCACTTTCCTACATTAGTACCAAAAGGGTTATGAATCAGTTTTTGGTCAACTTTAGATTCTGTTTGGTTATTTGGGGTGCTGATTCAGAAAATTGCATTGGATAGACCACATCAACTCTAGTTTCTGATACAGGATGTATGCCATCCAGTAGTCACCATCTACTCACCCACAGAAAACCATATTTAATAAGCCTCGGCACTATAAGAGGGTTTTGCGAGACTAGTCGCTCTCGTTACAATTGTGTAGTAATGGTGAGGCTGCAGACCATTCTAGTTCTTGCGGACCACTGATGATCCACGGACCACAGGTTGGGAACCACTGGTGTAGACTCATATAATACGGTTTAACTCCATTATATAGGTCTACACCAGTGGTTCTCAACCTGGGGTCTCCAGATGTTTTTGGCCTTCAACTCCCAGAAATCCTAACAGCTGGTAAACTGGCTGGGATTTCTGGGACTTGTAGGCCAAAAACATTTGGGGACCCCAGGTTGAGAACCACTGGTCTACACCAACCTTACAATGCAGTTTGAAACTGCATTATATGGCAATCTAAATGGGGCCATAGATAAGTTGGAAAAGTCATTTTTGGACTGCCAACTCCCAAAACCCCTCCATCACCAAAATGTCCAGCCAAATCCATGATATTAATGGTGACTTCAATTTATGGTGAACCCATGAATGAAAAACTTCCAAGGCTTCCCTTAGTCGGTTCGTCTGGAATGCCATGTTCCTCTTTTCCTACTCCTTCTACCTTACCAGGAGTTATTGCTTTTTCTAGTGAGTATTATCTCATTAAGCTGTCCCCCTACAACCGCCATTTGGCAAAGAGGGGTCATTGTGGCATAACAAAGCACTCCACCATCACCTTGATTTTTACATAATGGAATACTGAATGCTTCTCGGTTGTCTGAGAGGTGAGACATGGATGCCATGAGCCATATTTTTATTTCCTTTGAAGAAGAGAGTACTGAAAGCTGATGAACCCCTTTTTAATATCTCTGGTATTTACAAATACACCATCAGAGCATAAATGGAGGTATATGGCTTAGGTCCAGGTTATTTGAAGGATGGTACCTCTCTCTATTAACCTGTTAGAAATTTAGAATAACCTGGGGAGGATTTCTTCCCTGTCCCACCACCTCTCAGGCATCTTTGTTGGGAACAAGGGAGAGGACCCTTTTTGGCAGCTCCCAGCCTTTGGAACTCCCTCTCAAGAGAGACCCAGAAGGCCCCATCTCTGCTTGCCTTCTGCAAGCACGTTGAGACCTTTCTTTGCTATCAGGTCTTTGCGGGAAGATGAAGGGCATGCTGCTGGGGAGGTTGTGGGTGGGATTTTGGGGCGATGATGAATTTAAAATGTAACTTTCATTGTATTGATTGTATTTTAATTGAATTTTAACTTTTATTTCCACACACTAATATTCAATTGCTTTTAAAAATGTATTGGTTTTGTTTTAAATTTTTATTGCATTATGTTAGCTGCTTTGAGGGAGCCCCCGGTGGCGCAGTGGGTTATACCCCTGTGCCAGCAGGACTGAAGACCGACAGGTCGCAGGTTCGAATCCGGGGAGAGGCGGATGAGCTCCCTCTATCAGCTCCAGCTCCTCATGCGGGAACATGAGAGAAGCCTCCCACAAGGATGATAAAACATCAAATCATCGGGGCGTCCCCTGGGCAACGTCCTTGCAGATGGCCAATTCTCTCACACCAGAAGCGACTTGCAGTTTCTCAGGTCGCTCCTGACACGACAAAAAAAAAAGCTGCTTTGAGTTCCTATGGGGAGAAGGGCGGGATATAAATAATGTTGTTGATGATGATTATGATGATGAGCAGGCATTCCTACAGAATAGAAGATCTGTTAATCACATATCAAATTCCCTAAGGAGAAGTTTTATGTCTCCAAGATGCTCCTAGACTTCCACTATCTTGCTTTCTCCGGGCCCTTCCACATAGCCATATAACCCAGAATATCAAAGCAGAAAATCCACAATATCTGCTTTGAACTGGGTTATTTGAGTCCACACTGCCATATAATCCAGTTCACTGTGGATTTTATACAGCTGTGTGGAAGGGGCCTCCATTGTCCACTTTCATGTCTTTCTAAGCTTCCAGTTTCTTTTTCCTTATAGCTACACACAAAGCTACAGTGCCCTACTGAATAGAAGTTTCCTTGTTGCTCTAATTGCGGTTTCATTCAAAAAGTAATCGCCAGTAACTCTCCTGATCCCATTTTGAGGAAATAAGAAGCCACTATTATAAACTATTAACCTTAGAAAAGAATCAGGGTTGTAACCCAAAACATTCACAGGGGGATAGGTTTGGGAACACTGGCATAGATCCTACTACCATGATCAGTGTTTTCTTTCTGGAATGAAATGGAGAAAAAAGTAGAGAGAATAGTACTTTTTCTTTCAATAGTAAGTGAATGTGATGACTGGATCCCTCTTTCCATCCTTAGCTCTGCAAGTGGTATACAGGCCTGTAGCCGGGGGGGGGGGGGGGTGGGGGGTTCAAACCCCCCCCCCCCAAATTTTTCAGGTAAAAAAAACTGGTTTACTCATGAATTTTAACTGGTTAACCAAATCCCCATGCTAAGTCTATGAGACGCAAAAAATTAAGAGTCCCTCCAGAACTGCAAGCACTATCTCAAGCAAATATTGACAATTTATTCACACTGTCATTACTTGCAGCAATAGCCGATGTAGTGAAGCAACCAAGTTGGGGTGTGTGTGTTGAATGCTCTCATTAAGGAGGCCAGACTTGGTGGAGGTGGTTGACAGGGGCAGAGCTGCAGGCTATTGAAGGCTGCTATGGTCTTTGCTTCAGTGTGAGCTAGGAGGCAATTTTAAACCCCCCTCGAAATTTTCAACCCTTCCCAAAACATTTTTCTGGCTACGGCCCTGGTGGTATACACAGTACAACGGGGCTGAAAAGACAAGAATGTTGTGATTTGCATTAGCTGCAAGCACTCCCAAATTAGCACCATGGGGAAGGGAACTTGTTTTTCCTGCAGCATTTTCCTGATTCAGTTGGTCTTTGTGCAAGGAATAGATATAAATACTTGGAGATACAGGCAGATACAATTTATGGACAGTAATCTCTGCATGCAGTTCGCAAGAGCCAGACATGTATGTGTGTTAACATATGGGTGCTGAATTAGTGCATCAAATCCCTGCTCCCCCCGGAGTCCCCGTTTTCTGTTCCAATATGGGAAAAAACAAATGAGTGAAATGGCCTCAATGTGACAACTAATCTGAATCGACCTGTTCAGAGGCCACATGCCCACAATTTTTGCAAAACATTGCTGCCTAGCAAACTGGAAACAGCACAAAAAGGTCAAGATATATATCACAGTGAATTATGCACAAACTTCGAAAATAAACAAGGCACAACCAACGAGGCCTTTATCTGAAGCAGAAGATCTGCAGACAGATTGAAGAGGAGGGTTTTTAAAATCCCTTCAGCTCCAAACTGCTCTCTTGTCAAGCTTTTAAATTAGACATGGGCACACTTCAGCCCTCCAGGTGTTTTGGAGTTCAACTACCACAATTCCTAACAGCCCATGCCCGATTTAAATCCTTTTGTTTCCTAGAATGATATCAGGAAGGTATCGGGAATCGGGAATCTGCAACACCTCTGGTTTTTAAGCCTTTTCAGATGGCCACGATATGGGACATCTCTGAATTATTTCTCATATCATGGCTCAGTCATAAAAGGGCTGAACACCAGAGGTGCTGTGGTTTCTTGCGACCTCTTCTGTGAACTGTGTTCTGCTGTGTGTTGCATGCTAACATCTTAGTGGGGCAGTCTTGAAGCATAAAGGTAAGAGTGAGGGCGAGAAGGAAGACTTACGTTTGACTGTGCTACGAGATTCCTGGAACCCAGCGGGCTCTGTGCCCCAGCCTAAAGGTTCACATTCTTGCTCTGTTCCTTGCCCATGCCTGGCACTTGTGCTGGCGCCACCTTTCCCCTTCTCTGACAGCCAGCACATCTTCCACAGCCCCACACTGCGCTTGCGCCCATCCTCCAAGGTCTGGTACACCCAGTTGGGGGTGAAAGCAGCAGCATTGTTGAGGATAAGGGAGACCAGAGCTACTAACACAGCTGTGGCTACCAGTTTCTGGACAGTCATATCTGACTGTCCTCCACTGCTGGTAGGCACTCTTTGTAGAAGATGGAAGAGTCCTAGTCAGTCGTAGAGCATTTAGGTACTGCAGGTGGAACGTAAGCACAGGACGCTGTTATGGATGGCTAGAGAACATCACCATTCATTCTCAAAGTCAGATTCTAAGGTATGTCTGATTGCACAAAGAAATGATAGGCCAGGAAACGTAATCCATATGAAAAGAATAGGATCAATACTCCCACAATGCCGTGTTGCCAAACTGTGCTTTATCCACCTTCCTGCACTTTGAGCAGAGCCGAGCTGATGACAAGCTGAAAGGGTTGCATATTTTCCAAGTCTTGATTTGCGGAACAAGGTTGAGAATGCCGCCTTCTTAGACAATAGCGTTGTCTGATAATGTTGAAGGGCACTTCATCCTTCTGGAGCACAGCTGTGACAAGAGATTAATGCCCACATATAAGAGTTGAGCAGCAGAAGCTCCAAAATTGTGCAGCTCTCCAGCTTCAAAACATCCCACCACGAAAGCAAATCCACTGCCAAAGTAAATTCTGAGGAACACCAAAAATGCTGTTATCTCCAAGGAGTCTAGGAAGGCTGGTGGATTCCAAGGAAATCTTCTCCGCTTTCCCTGTTCTTCAGCAGATATCAGACCCGTGAGCAACAGAAACAGGAAAGCTGAACCTCGGCTGTAAGGAAGTTTTTCCCTCCTGTCTCTCAATGGAGAGAGGAAACAGTTGTTTTTGTGGATGTTTTTGGTGAGCCCTCAGGGCGTAGCCGACTGCAACTAACAGAGCCCCTGCCACAGCAGTTAGATATGAACAGGATGTGTTTCCTGAAAGGAAAAGACTGATGAAGACTTCTAAAGTCCTAGTCCATCCCTGTCTCTCTCCACCCCCAGTCCTCCTCCTTAATTCCAGTTACCTCCCCCCCTCGTATTCTTTCAGTTCCCAGAAGAAAATGTAAGCAATTCAGTGATAAAATATTAAACAACTATCATATGTGATAGGGATTGTCGAAATATTGAAAAGGAGCACTGCATTCCCAGTGACCATCTCACATGTCAGTGGTCTCAGTCATCAGATCCAACTGGGAACAAGAAGGCTTTGGGTGGCTGGACATGTAGGCCACTTTTCAAGCTACTCTGCTGCAAAAATGGAAAGACAGAGAGACTTTTAAAATGTCACTTATTGGTGAGAAAAATTATTGAAATTACTACTCATTTTGCAAAGGTAGTTTAGCATCTGGGCACACTCCAAGAAGCACAGCGGGATCTGTCATGTTAATGACCCCTAAGAGTAGCCAATGGATTCCCATCCCATCCCTTTCATCCTTTTATTAAGTCATCCTTTAGCAAAGGTAAAAGTTTCCTCTGACATTAAGTCTAGTCGTATTCAACTCTGGAGATTGGTGCTCGTCTTCACATCTAAGCTGAAGAACCAGTGTTGTCCGTAGATACCTCCAAGGTCATGTGTCCAGCATGACTGCATGGAGTGCCATTACCTTCCTGCAGAAGCAGTACCTATCTATTGATCTACTCACATTTACATGTTTTTGAACTGCTAGGTTGGCAGAAGCTGGGCCTAACAGTGGGAGTTCACCCCACTCATTGGATTTGAACCGCCAACCTTTCGGTCAGCAAGCTCATCAGCTCAGTGGTCATCCTTTCCTTTTACCTATACTTACTTTTCTTTTCTTTTGAATTAGGGTTCACTTTTCCACTGCAGACCAAAATGCAAAATTATCCTTTAAAGCCTGAGTGGGGTAACTCAGAGGGCCTGTCATTGTCATTAATCAAAACTGACGTGAAAGCATTTAACAACAATGCTCCCCTGTGACACTTCATCTTGTCGGTTCTCACAAATAAGATCGAAACAACAACAGAGCCTACGTGCAAGAAATAAAGTCATGATGTTGAGAGCTTGTATTCCTGTATTTGAGATGGAAAACTAAGTCCTAGAGATCACAAGGAGTAGTAGTATTTTAAATGGCTAATGCGTCCATACGTCTTTGGCTGTATCTGTTCTTTGTGACTGGCTAATTCTAGCTAAGGAAGTGCAGATGTGAGATAGCACTCCAAAGATAAACTCAGGAAATGCTCTGTGTGGGGGCTGGGAATAATTGTCGTGTGACACACACACTGTTTAATATTCTGTTTAAAAAAGAACCATCCCTTGATTTAGCCATACTAAGGGTAGACACATTGGAATCAAATGAACTGTAGTTTATCATAATTAAACTGTTCTTATTGACTTCAGTGTATCTGCTTTAAGCAGACTTAATTCAAGGTAATATATTCTATGCTGTTTGTTGGTTGATTTTTCCTGTAACCTTTGTTCAGGAAACCTTAATTGTCAGCACCTTTACTGCAAAGTCTATCTTCCCGAACTTAATAATAATAAGAATACACTTTTTGAATATTCTGCTTTATCTGTTTTCTGTCCCTGGGGGGACTCAGAGCGGATTATAGTTTTACATATATAAGGCAAACATTCAATGTCTTTTTACACAGTAAACAATGACATACAATACACAGATAGAGGTAAAGGCCTTACTTTCCATTTCCATCATCTGGAGGTGATGCTCAACTTGGCCATGGGGAGGTGCTCTTGTTCCATTTTTCCATGTCGAGGAGCCTGTTGTCCATAGACTTAGAATCATAGAATCAAAGAGTTGGAAGAGACCTCATGGGCCATCCAGTCCAACCCCCTGCCAAGAAGCAGGAATATTGCATTCAAATCACCCCTGACAGATGGCCATCCAGCCTCTGTTTAAAAGCTTCCAAAGAAGGAGCCTCCACCACACTACGGGGCAGAGAGTTCCACTGCTGAACAGCTCTCACAGTCAGGAAGTTCTTCCTCATGTTCAGATGGAATCTCCTCTCTTGTAGTTTGAAGCCATTGTTCCGTGTCCTAGGCAGCAGAAAACAAGCTTGCTCCCTCCTCCCTGTTGCTTCCTCTCACATATTTATACATGGCTATCATATCCCCTCTCAGCCTTCTCTTCTTCAGGCTAAACATGCCCAGCTCCTTAAGCCGCTCCTCATAGGGCTTGTTCTCCAGACCTTTTATCATTTTTGTCGCTCTCCTCTGGACACATTCCAGCTTGTCAATATCTCTCTTGAATTGTGGTGCCCAGAATTGGACACAATATTCCAGATGTGGTCTAACCAAAGAATAGAGGGGTAGCATTACTTCCCTAGATCTAGACACTATGCTCCTATTGATGCAGGCCAAAATCCCATTGGTTTTTTTGCCGCCACATCACATTGTTGGCTCATGTTTAACTTGTTGTCCACGAGGACTCCAAGATCTTTTTCACACGTACTGAACACTTCTCCAATTGTGTTTCTGGCATGTTTGCATGGCGCGCTCTTTTATCTCCCCGCTGAGGCAGTACCTATTGATCTACTCGCGTTACATGCTTTCTAATTGCTTGGTAGGTAGAAGCTCGGGCTGACAGCTGGGAGCTCACCCCAACTTGCAGCTTCGAACTGCTAACCCTCCAGTCAGCAGATTTGCTGCAGCTAGCGGTTTAACCCACTGCTCTACCACGACTCTCAACTTCTTAATGCAACTTCTAAAGAACCATTCTCTGTTTATCTCTTCTGTTTTGCTGTATATCTTTATGGTGACATGCCATAAAGATCGTTGTTTCAAATGACTGGATTTGGGGGGGGGGGAGGGGGGGTGTAAGAAAGGCCATGGCATGACATTTGGCATGGCCAATGAAACATTTCAGACAACCATTTGACCAACATCAAACATTCCAAACTTTAACATTTTCATATTTGTGCAGTAAGTTCTAGAAACTTTCCACCTGGGTGGTCTTTTATAGTATGAAAAAGAAATACTTCATAGCTCTGAGTAAACCTAGCAGCATAACAGCTACTATTATTGACCATGGTAGGCACCCAAAAATAGGAACATATCAAATACTTATCAATGGAAAATGTTATTTCACCTGATTCCGTTTTTTAAAGTACACCTAGTATTTCAGAATAAAAACTTAAGTGCTCTTTAGTGAATCATCCACATTTAAAGAAATCTTATCAAATGCTGCTAAATTTTCTAATAGCATTTTAATCATAATTCTTTATAAATTTAATTTACTTTTGTAATGCACTGAAGCAAAAGACTCTTCATTTCATTGTTTCTGTTTCTGCAGTGAGGCAGTTTGGGAGAACATGGCCCGCATGTGTGTGAAGACCCAAAGGCTGGATGTGGCCCGAGTCTGTCTGGGGAACATGGGCCATGCCCAAGGAGCCAAGGCATTACGAGAGGCTGAACAAGAGCCAGAGCAAGAAGCCAGGGTTGCCATGTTGGCAATCCAGCTGGGCATGCTGGTCAGTAGAGTGCTTCTCTTCAGATCAAACTTCTCTCGGTTTGGGCATCTGCAAACAAAGGCTCCTCCCTAGCAGTACTTAACAGCAAAAGCCTTGGAGGCAGGCAGGTGAAAAGGGAGAGTCGCATCTTCATCTTCGTTGAATTGGCTTTATTGCTGTACTTTGCATTTTTTCCATATTTCACAAATAACCCATTCATGTATTGTCAAAGGCTTTCATGACCGGAATCACTGGAGTGTTGTGTGGTTTCTGGGCTGAATGACCATGTTCTAGCAGTCTTTTCTCCGGACGTTTTGCCTGCATCTGTGGTTGGCATCTTCAGACGATGGTAGTCAAGCAAATGGAATATCCAGGGTGGGAGAAAATAACAATTGTCTATTAAACAAGTATAAATGGTGCAGTTAGCAAGCTCCATTTGTATGTTTTGAGTGGTATCCATTCATTAGCATGTGAGTAATCATGAAGATAGCATAGCCAATGATGCGAGGGCATCTGCCTAGAAGTAGCCTGGGCTCTGTTCCCTTTGAACCGCTTGCTGCCTGGAGACATCCTTTGCCTGGATGGTGTTCACTAGCCCTTTATTGCTTACTGTCTGAACACATCCTGTGTTTGGGTGGTGTTCATTAGTCACTGTCTTGATTCTAGTGTTTTTCAATACTGGTAGCCAATTTTTGTTCATTTCCATGGACAATTTCAACAGAAAGGAAAAAACCACAAAAATGAACAATTTTTGGCTACAAGTATTGAAAAACACCAGAATCAAGATATTGACTAATGTAATGAATACCACCCAGGCACAGGAGGTCTCCAAGCAATTATTCTTTTCTTCCACCCTAGACATTCCATGGGTATATATACTCAACCTGCTTGACTATCATCAGAACCTCTGATGATGCCAGCCACAGATGCAGGCAAAACAACTGTTAGAACACAGCCATACAACCCGGAAACCACACAGCATCCCAATCCATTGATTACTCATATGGCACCTTACCATGGTAGGCGGCACAGTGATATCAACTTCACTTGTGCAATTAAACAGGCTGGCATATAAGACTGGGCAGTTGATTTAGGGTTCTTTGGTTAGAAGACCTATGTCAGATTTGGGAGGTTCTTCACAATGATGATGATGATAATAATGAAAATGATAGTAATAATAAATTTATTACCTGCCTCTCCCTGTGGCTTGAGGTAGGGTACAACAAAATCATTAAAATGAGATAAAACATTGAGGTGTTTTGTGGTTTCCGGGCTGTATGAACATTTTCTAGCAGGATCCTCTGAAGATGTGCCAGCCACAGATGCAGGCGAAACATCAGAAGAAAATGCTGCTAGAACACATTGGCCATAAACATAAACCACACAACACCTCAGTGATTGCGGCCGTCAAAGCCGTCGACAATACAGATAAAACACTATTAAAACACATACAACAAGATACACAAAGTTAAAATACAAGATAAAATCTACTTAAACTCTACTTATTAACTGTGATATATATTGATTGTTTTAACTGTCTTAAGTGTTTTAATTGCTGTTTTGCACGTTTATTTGTATTATTGTGTAGGCATCGAATTGTGCCTTTTTATAAGCCGCCCTGAGTCCCCCCTCGGGGGTTGAGAAGGGCGGGGTAGAAGTACACGAAATAATAAATACTGATGAAATACAGATTATATTCCCAACTTTAAATTGACTGGATAGGCATTCATTCAGCCTTGTTGCAGAATAAAGAATTAATGGTCAAAGGCTCAGGAGTATGTGTACACACACACACACACATACGGGGGGGGGGGGGGGGGGGGGGAGAGAGAGAGTTAGGATTGGTATAATACCCAAAAGTCTGCCTTAAGGCCCTGTGTGAAGATACTAACTTGCTTTTGAAGAAGAAGCTGTAACTGACATACCAATGTGGACCCTGCAACTCCCTCTCAACACTTGGTGTGTCCTCTCTCTTGCTTTATTTTGGGCCGGTAGTTTAAATACTTATGATCCGACATCCATATCTACTTAGCTTTCAAGCTGTGTTAAAAGTTCAAAGCCTGTGACAGAGGGACAGCTTTTCCCAAGCTTCATTCGCCTCTGGGAAAGAGATGCTTCCAAGATAGAAGTGGCCCTTTCCAGCTTGTTGGAGTGGAGCCGGTTCCTAGAACAGCCGCCCTGCCCTGCGGGAGGATGCCGCCTCCCCCATGAAATGACCTGGAGGTCAGGTTGCCTTAGTACTTTCCTTATTTTTATTTAAACATCCTGTCTCACTCATAATGCTTCTATTCTGGGCTGCGTCAACTCCCGTGATTTTTCATATTTCTTGTTGTTTGGCAATCTCAAAATGCGCAGTTCCTGCTCTTGAAATGAAAGACAAAATAACCATCTCTTTATTTTGTCATTGTGTGCTATCCCAGTTCGTATTACTAAATGGCTTTTATGTCTAATCATGACATTAATTTTCAGAAGTTTGAAACACAAAATACATTTGTTTTATTTATTTATTTATTTATTTACTTACTTACTTACTGAGGGTGGATCACAGAACATATATATACAGCAAACATTCGAGGCTGTTTTATACACAAACAAGACAATTGTACATAGATAGATAGATAGATAGATAGGTATATCAGCTTTTCCCATCTTTGGCATCTTGGAAGCTTTGTAAGCGATTTTGGCCATGGGGTGGGGGTGCTGTCACTCCATCTCCCTGCCGAAGAGCTTTGTTTGTAAACTGCCTCCTTTTGATGAAATTGCTGGCATTCCTTATGGGTGCCTCAGAATACCTCCCCGATTTTAAGCAGTACCTATTTATTCACATTTGCTTCCGCTAGGTAGGCGGAAGCTGGGCTAAAGGCCAGGAGCTCACCTTGACCTGGGCTTCGAACTGGCAGACTTTCGACTGACAAGATTTACTGCAGCTGGTGGTTTAACCTGCTGTGCTAAAGCCCAGCCCAACTAATATTATTAGTCCCTTTCAAGTGACACCATTAGCTTAGTATTTGTCACTTCTTACGGTAGCAGCACAAAATGTCCTAATGCAAAGCAATTTGGTAACATCGCATGAGGATAAGGAGTCCCCAGCATTTATCCTACAATTGGACCACAGGGATTTCTTTCCTTATATGTGACAGGCTTTTAGGATAGACAATGGTCTTAAAATGGAATGAGAAGAAAGAGGTTTTGTCTCAACTCTGGCAAGTTATCTCTTAGAAACAATATTTGCATTTGTCTACAAGTAAAATCAACATCTATTAAATTAATAGCTGCTGATATGCTATAGAGGAAGCATGGGCAAACTTTGGCCCTCCAGGTGTTTTGGACTTCAACTCCCACAATTCCTAACAGCCTCAGGCCCTTTTCTTTTCCCCCTCAGCCACTTAAGCAGCTGAGGGGGAAAAGGAAGGGGGCTGAGGCTGTTAGGAATTGTGGGAGTTAAAGCCCAAAACACCTAGAGGGTGATTCACAGCGGCGTAAAAATAGGGGCTCACTTTCTTAACTTCCTTCTGACACAATTTAGAGTGATATTTGAAGGCAGCATATTTGGTTCATGTACCTGATGAGCATTCTGACTATGTTGACTTCTTGTTGTTGTAGCATATTTGTCCTTTGTGATCCTGTCTTCTGTGTTGCCTATGTATTGTAGAGGATTATTATGTATAGGGAAACTCTGTTTTTGAATGTGTTATCATTCAGACAAAGTTCTCTATACTCATTACTCTGGTTTCTCTTCCAGGAAGATGCGGAGCGACTGTACAAGCAGTGCAAGCGCTATGACCTCTTAAACAAGTTCTACCAGGCCTCCAACCAGTGGCAGAAAGCCATGGAAGTTGCCGAGGCGCATGACCGTGTCCACTTGCGCACTACCTATTACAATTACGCCAAGCATTTGGAAGCTACCGCTGACCTCAGTCTTGCGCTCACCTAGTAAATGTTAACATTTAATCCAAACCTAATTGCATTGATGTCTGTCAAAGAGTGCTGTTGCTGCACCCTGCTGTGTTTCTGGGAGGGGGAAATATCTATCATTGCATCTAATAGCAGCTTTTAAAACAAATACACTAGTTTAGTGGTCCTGCTGTTGAGCCAGTAAGATTGTGTGCATTATGGAACACTGTGTGATATATTCCCTTTTGCCCTTCAGCTCTCTCTCTGTCCCCATACCTGACGAGTCCAAAGCAATGGACAGTATAGTGCACCAAACAAATGCAGAATAGCCATTTCAGCCTAATAATACAAGATGGCTACCAACAAATACATTCATGGTCTGCCGGTCGTAGCAATTTTACGATGCCAGGAAATGGTTTGTAAAATAGGATTTTTTTCATGTCAGAAGCAACTTGAGAAACTGCAAGTCGCTTCTCGTGTGAGAGAATTGGCTGTCTGCAAAGACGTTGCCCAAGAGATGCCTCGATGTTTTACCATCCTATGGGAGGCTTCCCTCATGTCCCCGCATGAGAAGCTGGAGCTGACAGACAGGAGCTCACCCCTGTTGCGGTTTGTTAGTTTATATTGAATCTACACAGCAGTCCTCCCAGCTCCAGATCCCAAGTTGATTTGCACAGAGTATAAAGGAAAATGTCTTTACTCTGGAGTAGTTAATACATGTAGCTTTATAAAGAAAAATACAGTAGCCTTGAAAACACATTGTCCACATTGTCCATCGCAGAAGGAAAAAAAAACTTACAATGCATTAATCTGCTTCTTTCCAGCAAACCTTGTAGCATAGTTCCATCTCTGATTACTTCATTTCACCCACTACCTGCATCAAGAAAACTTCACCTGATATACATCCTAATCAGGGAGTGGTTCTTCCTCAACACACACATAAGCAAGAGATGATTCTTGTCAAGACTTACAAAACCATATACTGTAACACCCCGCTCCCTGGATTTGAACCCCTGACCTTTCCGCCAGCAGTCCTGCCGGCACAAGGGTTTAACCCATTGCAACACCAGTGGCTCCCTATAAAATAGAATGAATGATTTCAAAAAAATACTGTTTGATTTTGATTTTGCCTTCAAGTTATTTCTAGTTTAACCTATCACAAGGTTTTCTTGGAAAGATTTGTTCAGAGGGGTTTTTGCTGTTGGCTTCCTATGACGCAAAGAGAGTGTGATTCACTCATGACCAAGCAGGGAGTTGAATCCTGGTCTGATTCCCAAAACCACTACCCCATGCTGGCTTTTAAGGCTACTATACAAATGTGAAATATATGTACTATTTTTCTTACCTCTAAGTATAACTAGAATACAGAATCTGTCCTTGGCTTGTCTTTCTAATATACCTTTCCTTGCTGGCAGTTATGAAAAGTCAGACACACACAAATTTGAGGTCCCACGGATGCTTTCTGAAGATTTACAGGCCTTGGAGTCTTATGTCAACAAGATGAAAGATAAGTGAGTATTTCCCAGTGCCTGAATGAATGCATTCTGCTCCATCTGCTGGGAATGCTCCTGTTAGGGCCGGGGCGGACTATGTTAGTTTTTAAACTCTTCCTTGGGTTTTCAATCCAAAGTCTTTTCAGCCCAATCCCTGGAGAGGAGATATTGATATACAGTAGTATCTGTTCCATCAGGACTCAGGTTACATTAGAAATGTTCAAAAAGAAGGGAGTTAATGAAGGATGAGAGTTTTTACAGGTGAGATGTTGAAAGCACAGTTGCAAATAGTTCCAATGAGAAATAAAAGTCGGCCAAGTCGAAGAGAAACCAGAAGGGAAGTATAAAGTACTTATAGGTGAATTGAGGTTTTAAAAAGTCATGTAGAAGAAATTAAAGAAAGGGGGAAATCACTAAAGAGGAATTTGTGTCTATTTTGTGTACATTCCATTTTTCTCCTTACATAGTATCTTATCAGCACAAAATTTATAAAAGGAAGAGGGCTCGCTATGATTGTGTTTCAATTTATATTATAATGTAATGCAATATAATACTACTGCTAATAATATATTATAATTATATATTTATATTACATGTAATATTACTAATAATGTTACAATATAATGGCATAATACAATATAGTAATATTTAATACTGATATTGTACTATGCTAATAATATAGTATATTGCATGTATATATATCTTGTAAGCCGCTCTGAATCCCCTTCGGAGTGAGAAGGCAACATATAAATGTCATAAATAAATAATAATAAATCTGAAGGAGTTCTGTCCTGGGCCCACTAGTCTTCTTTGAACTCTTTGTGAATCTTCGTGACTCAGGCTGCAATAGAAGGCATTGAAAAGAGAGGCTGTGCTTCTTTGCGGTCATTCTGATTCTTAATTGACAGCAATTGCTCATTACAGCGTACAGCTTTGCTATTTATTTTCTTGTTAATAGCAATTTGGCTAGTATTTTCTCAGTCATCTTGGGGATTTTAATCAAATTGATTTAAGAGGATATCAATTAACTTTCCAGGGGCTTGTGGAAGTGGTGGGCACAGTACCTGGAAGGTCAGGCAGACATGGAAGCAGCTTTGAAATATTACGAACTGGCTCAAGACTACTTCTCCATGGTCCGGATTCACTGTTTCCTGGGCAACATCCAGAAGGTAATCTTCCTTCCTCCAGGTTTCCTTAAGAAAAGGCACTCATCTGATGGCTTCATCCAGGGAAAGCATGTTTTTTTCTCTGATTCCCTTTCAGGCGGCTGATATTGCAAATGCTACAGGGAACTGGGCAGCCTCCTATCATGTTGCCCGCCAGTATGAGAGCCATGATGACATCAAACAAGCCGTACACTTCTATACCAGAGCCCAAGCTTTTAACAACGCTATCCGACTGTGCAAGGTATTGTCGACTCACCCGTCATCCCATCTTGGAGCATTGTGCTTTAACTAAGAGCAGTGGTGGATGCATTTGGCCACAACACCTCCTATAATACCTGTAATACTTCCAGAAAATGAAGATTTGCAGGGCTGAAGATTTGAAAGTGACCAGATTTATTGCCAGATTTGTGGGGAAGAGGGACAGAACACTCTTCCACTAGTGTTGGAAATAGCAAACTTCCAAGCCTTCACTATTTGTTTGTGTATATATATATATATATATATACTAGCTTGGGGACCCGGCGCTGCCCGGGTTATTAGAGAAAGGAATTGTATATCAAGGTTGGTCCTTATCAGTTATTTATATGGCTCGCAGTGGTCTCAGGAAGTTAGTGAAGGTACTGCGAGTCCCATTATCTGTGGTCCATCCTCCTCCAAATTGCACCAGGATGGAGAGTGGGTCATGAGGGCTCTGTGTGCAAAGTTTGGTCTTGATCAGTCATTGGATGAGGGTCACAGCAGTCTCAGAAAGTGAGTTAAGGTACTGCAAGTCCCATCATCCATAGTCTCCCTCAAACATCACCAGAATGTTGAGTTGGCCATGGGGGCTCTCTGTGCCAAGTTTGGTCTTTATTGGTATTTGGATGAGTGTCACTGTGGTTTCAGGGAGTGAGTGAAGGTACTGCAAGTCCCATCATCCATTGTCCGTCCTCCTCCAAACAGCACCAGGATGTACAGTCACTCATGGGGGCTCTATGTGCCAAGTTTGGTCTTGATTGGTCATTAGATGAGGATTGCAGCAGTCTTGGTAAGTGAGTGGAGGTACTTGAAGTCCCACCATCCATAGTCTGTTCATCAGAATGTTGAGTTGGCCATGGGGGTTCTGTGTGCCAAGTTTGGTCTTCATCAGTCATTGGATGAGGGTCTCAGTGGTTTCACTAAATGAGTGAAGGCACTGCAAGTCCAATTGTCCATGGTGCATCATCCTCCAAACTGCACCAGGATGTAGAGTGCATCATGGAGACCCGGTGTGCCAAGTTTGGTCCTTATCGGAAATTGGATGATGGTTGCAGTGGTCTCAGGAATTGAGCGAAGATACTGCAAGTCCCATAATCCATGCTCGATCCACAGTCAAACCACACCATAGCGTAAAGTGGGTCATGAGAGGTCTATGTGCCAAGTTTGGTGTTGTTCAGTCATTGTTGAGGGTCGCAGCAGTCTCGGAAAGCGAGTAGAGGTACTTCAAGTCCCATCATCCATGGTATGCCCTACTCCAAACCGCAGTAGGATGTAGAGTGGGTCATGGGGGCTCTGTGTGCCAAGTTTGGTTTTGATCGGACATTAGATGAGGGTTGTAGCAGTCTTGGGAAGGGAGTGGAGGTACTTGAAGTCCTATCATCCATGGTCTGTCCTCCTCGAAAGTGCACCAGGATGTAGAGTGGGTCATGGGGACACTGTGTGCCAAGTTTGGTCTTGATCAGTCATTGGCGAGGGTCTCAGTGGTCTCAGGAAGTGAGTGAAGTGACTGCAAGTCCCATCATCCATTGTCAAATTCTTCCAAACCGCACCAGGATGTAGAGTGGGTCATGCGGGCTCTCTGTGTAAATTGTGGTCCTGATCCATCATTGTTGGCAGTTGTAATGGTCTTAGGAAGGGAGTGCAGGTATTGCAAGTCCCATCGTCCATGGTGCATCCTCCTCCAAACTGCACCAGGATGTAGAGTGGAGACTCAGTGTGCCAAGTTTGGTCTTTATCGGTAATTGGATGAGGGTTGCAGTGGTCTCAAGAATTGAGCAAAGGTACTGCAAGTCCCATAATCCATGGTCCATCCTCGGCCAAACCACACCAGGACGTAAAGTGGGTCATGAGAGGTCTATGTGCCAAGTTTGGTCCTGATCAGTCATTGGATGAGGTTAACAGCAGTCTCAGAATGTGAGTGATGGTACTGCAAGTCCCATCATCCATGGTTCATCCTCCTCCAAACTGCAGTAGGATGTCGAGTGGGTCATGGGGGCTCTGTGTGCCAAGTTTGGTCTGTATTGGTAATTTTCTGACTCCGCCCCCTCTGGCCTTTTCCTTTCCTCTCTTTGTCATCTCGGAATCTTGGAATTGAGGCTGGCCAATCAGAGACCATATGCAAATTTCCTTCTCATGTCCCCGTTTCTGTCATGAACTCTTTTCTCCACCAGGGGCTCCTCTTGAAGCTGGCCAATCAGAGACCATATGCAAATAGCACCACAGTGGCAGCCAATCAGAACGCTGGCACATACTCCTCCCATTTCCACATACAAACTTTGACTTGTATTATATGTACTAGCTTGGGGACCCGGCGCTGCCCGGGTTATTAGAGAAAGGAATTGTATATCAAGGTTGGTCCTTATCAGTTATTTATATGGCTCGCAGTGGTCTCAGGAAGTTAGTGAAGGTACTGTGAGTCCCATCGTCTGTGGTCCATCGTCCTCCAAACTGCACCAGGATGGAGAGAGGGTCATGGGGGCTCTGTGTGCTAAGTTTGGTCTTGATCAGTCATTGGATGAGGGTCACAGCAGTCTCAGAAAGTGAGTTAAGGTACTGCAAGTCCCATCATCCATAGTCTCCCTCAAACATCACCAGAATGTTGAGTTGGCCATGGGGGCTCTCAGTGCCAAGTTTGGTCTTTATTGGTATTTGGATGAATGTCACGGTGGTTTCAGGAGGTGAGTGAAGGTACTGCAAGTCCCATCATCCATTGTCTGTCCTCCTCCAAACAGCACCAGGATGTAGAGTCTCTCATGGGGGCTCTGTGTGCCAAGTTTGGTCTTGATTGGTCATTAGATGAGGGTTGCAGCAGTCTTGGGAAGTGAGTGGAGGTACTTGAAATCCCATCATCCATAGTCTGTTCTCCCCAAACCTCACCAGAATGTTGAGTTGGCCATGGGGGCTCTGTGTGCCAAGTTTGGTCTTCATCAGTCATTGGATGAGGGTCTCAGTAGTTTCACTAAGTGAGTGAAGGAACTGCAAGTCCCATCGTCCATGGTGCATCATCCTCCAAACCACACCAGGATGTAGAGTGCATCATGGAGACCCGGTGTGCCAAGTTTGGTCCTTATCGGAAATTGGATGATGGTTGCAGTGGTCTCAGGAATTGAGCGAAGATACTGCAAGTCCCATAATCCATGCTCTATCCACAGTCAAACCACACCATGGTGTAAAGTGGGTCATGAGAGGTCTATGTGCCAAGATTGGTGTTGTTCAGTCATTGTTGAGGGTCGCAGCAGTCTCGGAAAGCTAGTAGGGGTACTTCAAGTCCCATCATCCATGGTATGCCCTACTCCAAACCGCAGTAGGATGTAGAGTGGGTCATGGAGGCTCTGTGTGCCAAGTTTGGTTTTGTTCGGACATTAGATGAGGGTTGCAGCAGTCTTGGGAAGAGAGTGGAGGTATTTGAAGTCCTATCATCCATGGTCTGTCCTCCTCGAAAGTACACCAGGATGTAGAGCGGGTCATGGGGACTCTGTGTGCCAAGTTTGGTCTTGATCAGTCATTGGCAAGGGTCTCAGTGGTCTCAGGAAGTGAGTGAAGTGACTGCAAGTCCCATCATCCATTGTCAAATTCTTCCAAACCGCACCAGGATGTAGAGTGGGTTATGCGGGCTCTCTGTGTAAATTGTGGTCCTGATCCATCATTGTTGGCAGTTATAATGGTTTTAGGAAGGGAGTGCAGGTATTGCAAGTCCCATCGTCCATGGTGCATCCTCCTCCAAACGCACCAGGATGTAGAGTGCGTCATGGAGACTCAGTGTGCCAAGTTTGGTCTTTATCGGTAATTGGATGAGGGTTGCAGTGGTCTCAAGAATTGAGCAAAGGTACTGCAAGTCCCATAATCCATGGTCCATCCCCAGCCAAACCACACCAGGACGTAAAGTGGGTCATGAGAGGTCTATGTGCCAAGTTTGGTCCTGATCCAGTCATTGGATGAGGTTAACAGCGGTCTCAGAATGTGAGTGGTGGTACTGCAAGTCCCATCATCCATGGTTCATCCTCCTGCAAACTGCAGAAGGATGTCGAGTGGGTCTTGTGTGCTCTGTGTGCCAAGTCTGTTCTGTATTGGTAATTGTCTGACTCAGCCCCCTCTGGCCTTTTCCTTTCCTCTCTTTGTCATCTCGGAATCTTGGAATTGAGGCTGGCCAATCAGAGACCATATGCAAATTTCCTTCTCATGTCCCCGTTTCTGCCATGAACTCTTTTCTCCACCAGGGGCTCCTATTGAAGCTGGCCAATCAGAGACCATATGCAAATAGCACCACTGCGGCAGCCAATCAGAATGTTGGAACTTTCAGGCTGGCCAATCAAAATGCTGGCACATACTCCTCCCGTCGCACCGCCACACTTTTGTCCGCCGCATACAAACTTTCACCTTTATTATATGTATAGATAGATAGATTGTATATATTGATTTGCCAGTTTGACTGGACTCTTTGGTGTGGGAGAGGCTACAGACATGTGATTGTACTGAGCATGTTCAGACTCCATTTTGTTATCAGTATGCTATTGGATTTCAATATAAGCAGATGTCATTTGGACTTATGCAGGAATGGTTTACTCTCTGTTTGCTTTGAGAAGTAGTGAGTATAATTATACAGTTTGGACTTTCATAAGATGTATACTTAAAGACTTTGGACTATGGACTATTGATTAAGAATGATTCCCTGTGTTCTCAACACAGAGAAAATACATCTATCTATAAATGTGCCTGTATGCTGAATTAAAACAAGATGAGTAAACAAGATATATTACTTTTTAAAGAAGACTTTGTTTTTGTCTCTGAGTGCATATTTCAAACTGAGAGGTTTCAAGGGAGTGTCTATGTTTTGGGCAACTGCAATTTCAACTTCAACTTCAAAGAAACATTTCAAAACTTTGCTAGCTAAATATATTGATTTTTTTTGTGCAGTGGCATGTCTTTGTTCCTGGCAGTTCGAAGACATGGTTTATCAGTTTAACAGCTGAGTTACCCGTGTGCCATTGCATGAATGCTTGTGAACATCACTTTTTTCTAACAAGGCCATGCCTTTCTTTGACCCCTGGTTTTCAAAAGGTGACCTCCAGATGTTCATGGAGATTCACATTTGCCAAAAGGATGTGACATCATTTTTCTTTTTCAAAAAGGTTATGAGTGCCATTTTCCCTAAAAACATGCACAGAGAAATTAAGCCAATGCCCTATCCTTTGCCTCGGAAGGGAATTGTCACTTCTTGAAGCTTCCAAGAGTACCAGTTTTCCATTTTAAATTTTTAGCTGGAAGGGGAATCCTGCAAAAATGGGCATTGTAATGTAATAACAGAACATTAAGAGGAGGGAATGGTGAAGACTTTTCCTAGGAGCAGAGGCTTCACCAGAATGAGTTTGTAGATCCCATGAAGATGTTGCAGAAAGAGAGAGTGATTACCATCATTCAAAAATGTGTTTGTGCCGTATGTCACCAAACAGGATGCTGGCCACCTCAAAAATAGCTCTGGAAAATTGCCACAACTAATAGGTTATTTGAAGATCCTTCTTGGTATTTTTTTAAACAGGAAAACAATCTGGATGACCAGCTGATGAATCTGGCTCTTCTTAGTTCTCCAGAAGACATGATTGAAGCTGCGCGTTATTATGAAGGAGGAGGGGAGCAAATGGACAGAGCAGTCATGCTATATCACAAGGTAAGGAACGGAAATATAAACCATAAACTATATCAATATAAGCAATTAACTGAGAACATATTGCCCCAACTCATTGCACGCTCACATTTCTACTGTTAACTTTTCATGTTGGTTTTATTAATTCACTGTGTTATTTATGGAACCTATAACGATTACTGTGTTATTTGTGAATTTTTAATTGCTTGTTTTAATTGTTCTTTTACTGCTGTTTATCTCTATTTTGTTGTTGTCTTTGTAAGCCACCCTGAGCCCCTTTGGGGAGAGAGGAGTTGTTGTTGTTGTTGTTGTTGTTGTTGTTATTTTACTGACACAGAACACAGTATGTCACAGCAAACAAGATCTATATACTGGATTTCATATCACAAAATCACAAGTCAAACACTTCCCAAGCGTCGAGGACTGTGTGATGTATTTTCAAATGATGCGCGCAGATCCAAGTAAGGTGGCCTTTTGCAGTTGACAGATCATTATTTTGTCAATGTTCATTGTTTCCAAATGCCGGCTGCAATCTTTTGGCACGGCACCCAGTGTGCTGATGACCACTGGGGCCACTTGTACTGGTTTATGCCTTTGCAGTTCGATTTTGAGGTTTTGATAGCGGATATGATCCATAGTTTCATCAGCTTCCTTGCACAGTCTGCATTTTGGGTCATCAGCTGATTTTTCAATCCTGGCCTTAATGGCATTTGGTCTGATGGCTTGCTCCTGGCCTGCAAGAATCAGGCCTCCTTCAGTGTTCCATTCGTGAGCCATAACCAGTCCTTCTCCTTATTAAATTTTCCTTCAATTTTGTCAAGGAACTTCCCATGCAATGCTTTGTTGTGCCAGCTGTCAGCTCCGGTTTGAAGTGCAGTTTTCTTATACTGGTTCTTTGTCTGCTGTGCTTTGAGAAGTTTCTGATTATTGACTTCAATTAAAGCAGGCTCTTGGCTTTCCTTTACATATTTTGCCAGGGCATGTTTGTCTTCTTCAACTGCTTATTTTACTTGTAAAAGTCCTCTACCACCAGACCTTCTAGGCAGATAGAGCCAGCTAACATTACTGCGAGGATGTAGTGAATTATGAGTGGTCATGAGTTTTCTTGTTTTTCTGTTCAAATTGTCCAGTTCTGCCTTCGTCCAGTTTATGATGCCAGCAGTGTATCTTATGACAGGTATGGCCCAGGTGTTTAGAGCCTTGATGGTATTGCCTCCATTGAGCTTGCTTTTGAGAATTTTTCTGACCCTTTGAATGTATTCTTTGCTGACACAGTTTTCACATGTTCATGTTTGATGTTGTTCAGCTGTAGTGTGCCCAGATATTTATAAGCCTCTGGCTGGTGACACTTTATTGCTTGGCCATTGGGCATATTTATGTCCTCACTTTCAGTGATTTTTTCCTTCTTCAGTGCCACTGTCAAACATTCGTCCAAACCAAACTCCATGTTGATATCAGTGTTAGTCAGAGACTGGATTTCAGTTTCAGTTTTCCATACAGCTTCAGGTCATCCATGTACAGCAGATGTGAAATTTTGTGAGATTTCTTAGATGTTTGATAGACCTGGTTTGTTTTTATTTTATGATGATGATTATTCTTATTCTTATTTTTATTAAGCAAGCCTTCTCAGGCATGCATTAAATTAAGAGAAGACTTCTCCATTTGTACCTGCCTTGTGACTATTTAGCAGGTTACAGTCAGAGCTTGGAAATGTTGCTTTTTTACTAACAGAGCAAGAGCTCTCCAAGCTTGAGTTAACTCCTGTCACTTTCCCAGGTGCAGCAAGGAATCATGTGGAGTTTTCACAAAACTGATGATAGACCCTTTGTGAGACTTCAGGGCCTTCATGTTTTCACTTACATCAACAATTGCCTTGTGAAATGGTATTCTCTTGAAAGAGCCAAACAAACACTGACAACTACTCTCTGTATCTTAGGGTAGCATGATATCATGGCAATGAAGGGGGGGAAAACCAAGATATTAGTTCATCCGGCGTACCCTAATAGATACTGAAAAGGAATGCATTGCCCCTTCTCCAGAAAACTCCTGGCTGAGCCCATTTGGTGAAGTCTTATATCCACGAGGTCGCAACCGCAAGCTCTACTGCTGACTGCTTTAGTGGTTATTCAGACCATTCCAGTCAACTTGCTATCATATCTGAGCCTGACTTCCTCCAGCGGAGAAAGAAATGTAACTTTTCTCAAGGAATCCCCTATAGGACAACCTCCCCCCATATTGATGCCACCTGGGCTACATTCTCCATATTCATGAAACATGATGCATTAGGCATTTGCTTCTGCCAGGGCCTTCTTTGGCAATGGTTCTCCAACAAATATATTGCCTGTCTAGCTCACTCTCTTGCTATGTTTCCACCAACCTTCTGTTCGTATTTGGGTAACTCCTATGGTTGGATGGCTCTGCCGGATGATAGTGGCATACTGGGGGACTTGCCGCAAGGATTCATTTTGGAGAAAGAGACACCCAGAGCCACTTTATGGTGGCAAGATTACTTCTTTTCCTCCCTGCTCTTACTGGAACTCTCTCCTGTTTCCCGCTGCTGAGGAATAGAACTGAAGCAGGAGCAAGAGATCTGATATAAAGTGCTTTGCTTAAGAACCCACGATTCCCTCTCTTACATGGCAGGAGCCAAGCTCTTTCCTCTTGGCAAGAATTGGCTTTTCATGGGAAGCCCTCCCATGTGCTATATCCCCAGTGCTGACTTGTCTGACTTTGTCTCCCCTTCCAGGCAGGACACTTGTCCAAGGCCCTGGAGCTGGCCTTTACGACAGAGCAGTTTGCAGCCCTTCAGCTCATTGCTGAGGATTTAGATGAGAAGTCTGACCCAGCTCTTCTGGCTCGTTGCTCTGATTTCTTCATTGAACATGGCCAGTATGAGAAGGCTGTGGAACTCCTGCTAGCTGCTAAAAAGGCAAGTTGCACAATTCACATTTTTTCGAGAAAGGACAACCTCATATACACTCAACGAATCATAATCACAAATATTGTTTTGAGCTAACATTCTCAGCTTCTCCTGTGTTGTGCATTGACCCACAGTAGCCTGAAGGACCAGGACCCAGGGTACAATTTAGCACTCACTTTCTGAGTTCAGTTGATTTTCTATCAGTTCTGAAATATTGTCATGACAAATAACTATAATTTTTCTAAATTTGTAATACCTTTGGGGGTTGAGGGGTCTGCCTTTCTCCCACTTTTTTCTTTGATGAAAGAGATTCAAGAACTCAAGGATACAGAATGGGGGACAACCGGCTCAATAGCAGTACGTGAGAAAAAGATCTTGGGAGTCCTCATGGACAGGAAGGTGAACATGAGCCAACAATATGATGTGACAGCTAAACAAGCCAATGGGATTTTGGCCTGCATCAATAGGAGCATAGTGTCTTGGTCCAGGGAAGTCATGCTACCCCTCTATTCTGCTTTGGTCAGACCACACCTGAAGTACTGTGTCCAATTCTGGGCACCACAATTGAAGGGAGATGTTGACTGTAAGCTGAAATGTGTTCAGAGGAGGGCGACTAATTGATCAAGGGTCTGGAGATCAAGCCCTATGAGGAGCAGCTTTAAAAACTGGGCATGCTTAGCCTCCAGAAGAGAAGGCTGAGAGGAGACATGATGAGGGCCATGGGTCAAGAGGTGAGGGGAAGTCATAGGGATGAGGGAACAAGCTTGCTTTTTGCTGCCCTGGAGACTACGAAAGGAGATTCCACCTGAACATTAGGAAGAACATCCTAACTCTGAGAGCCGTTCAGCAGTGGAACACTCTGCTGCTGAGTGTGGTGGAGGCTCCTTTTTTGGAGGCTTTGAAACAGAGGCTGGATGGCCATCTATCTGGGGTCCTTTGAATGTGATTTTCCTGCTTCTTGGTAGAATGGGGTTGGTCTGGATGGTCCACGAGGTCTCTTCCAACTCTATGATTCTATATATATATATGTATATAACAAAGTGAGCCACCGTTGGGAGATTCATGAGTGTTTCTTCATCTGCCCAGACAATCAATTTTGGTGTCTGGGTGTATGGTTTTCCTGCTGCTCTGCTTCATTCAGGTGTTAGTACACATCATACATTGTTTCTGAAGATGTTAAATTTGGTAGCATCCCTGGGATGGAAGGGCAGAGAGGGAGATTACTCATAATCTCTGCGTACATTATGCTCACCTGAAAGCTATTCTTGTCCCTTTCTCATTGACTCTTGAGTCCTTTGGTGCCTTCTTTGTGTTTTGGAACAAAATGAAGCTCATATTGGCTTGAAAGCAAAGCTCCTCTTCTGCCTCCTAGTTTGTTCCTAAGCAGTAATTCAGGACACACGACAGATAAGATTGGCTTCAATGATAGAAAGAGCCCTTTCACAATAAATTGTGCTTCCATGCTTCTTCCTACTTCTCCCTACTCCAGCAGGGTCAAATGTGTGGTCCTCCAGGTGTTTTCAGCTCCCAGAATTCCTTGCTGTTGGACTAGCTTGTCTAAGGCTTCTGGGAGTTGGAGGCCCAAACATCTAGAGGGACACAAGTTTGACCCCTCTGCAGCCCATTTAATCAATACATTCCATCAAGACTGTTTCGCTCATTGGAATTTATTTGTTCTCTATCCCCCCCCCCCCCCCAGTACCAGGATGCTTTGCAGCTTTGCCTGGCACAGAACCTGACCATCACGGAGGAAATGGCTGAAAAAATGACTATTTCAAAGGATTCCAAGGAGATTCCCGAAGATTCCCGGCGGGCGCTCTTGGAACAGATTGCCGACTGCTGTATGCGGCAGGGCAATTACCACATGGCCACCAAGAAATATACCCAGGCAGGAAACAAGTTGAAAGTAAGTTGCATGTGGCGAGCATTGCCCCAAATAAAAGATCTACATGATAAGGCGTGGACACCATTTATTAGCTTCATGTGTAAAAAGTAATGGCAAATTCAAACCACCAAGTGAGCAGGAAAGATGATGGAAGAATAATAACTATATTATAATAATTATGTGCAATGGATGAAATTAGAATAAGTAAAAGTAATACTAAGAGGGCTGTATTTTATAATACTCTATGAATGATGTTGGGCTAAAGTTGAGGATCTCTTCCAATTCTAGGCCTTGTGCATTGGTTTGACTGCCTTTGGGGATACAATGAGTTAGTGAAGAGCTCTTGAAAGTCTGTTGATAGTTAAAGCAAATGAAAAAATGAAGAGCTCTTCTGAATCAAACATAGCAGGCCATCTGATTGTTACTCTTGCAGTGATCATCTCTGTATTTCTGAATAACTTACAAGAGGGACATATGAGCTGAATGTGTTTCTGATTCCTTAGCGGCAAACAGTGGATATACCCCTATAGTCCATGTGGTCATATATTTTCTGAAATGCAGTCTAGACAGAGTTGTCATTGAGGCAAGCTTGGAAGGTGTAAGCAGTATAAGATGCTATAACTTGTCAACTTCTAGGATTGGGATGCAGGGCATATGTCATTGCTCCTCCTGTGGGTTTTCAAACTTGTTCAGCCAATTAGTGATGAAAAATGAAGCTCTCAATATCCTGCATAGTGGTTGTCAGCAGCTTTAAAGTTTGGTGACTGCCTGGAAACCTTCTTTTTCTAGAAGAGAGACTGAAGCAATCTGCATGAAACTGCCATTTTCTTTCTTCTCCTTCTCTTTCTGGCTTTCCACTGTTTTCCTTGCTCTGTAGTGACCAGCCCTCTTCCTTTGTTTCCAGGCAATGAGAGCCCTCCTGAAATCGGGTGACACAGAAAAAATTGTATTCTTTGCTGGCGTCTCCAGGCAGAGGGAGATTTACATCATGGCTGCAAACTACCTCCAGTCATTGGACTGGCGCAAGGACCCAGAGATTATGAGGAACATCATCAGTTTTTATACCAAAGGGAGAGCTCTTGACCTCCTGGCTGGTTTTTATGATGCTTGTGCTCAGGTAGGCAGATGCACCTTGGGTCAAGGGTTGCAGATGAGCATGGGATCGCACAAGCAGAACACACTTCCTTTTCCCTCCAGGTGGAAGTGGACGAGTACCAAAATTACGAGAAGGCCCTGGGAGCTCTGACGGAAGCATACAAGTGCCTGTCGAAGGCAAAGACGCGCAGCCCGGTCGAGCAGGAGAGCAAGCTTGCGCTCTTACACAGCAAGATGGCCCTGGTGAAAAAGTTCATTCAGGCCCGAAGGTGAGAGAAAGCAGGGAAGACTTGGGTATACTGAGGCATATATTTCTGCCCTTCCCGGAAGCATCCTGTCCTCCTGGGATTTAAGAGGCCTCTCTTTGAAAGAGGTTGCAACTCCAGTGAGAGAACACTGCTATTGTACCACAACTTGCACCTCCCTGACCATCATTAAATATTCTTTGTGGTCGGGGGAGTCGGAGCTATTCAGATTTCTTCAAAGAATAAAATGGAGCCCCTGTTTTTGTTCGATTAGAAGATCTGATATGGTTTCCTTTTATAGGCTTTACTCTGAAGACCCCAAGGAGGCAGCAAGGCAGTGCGAGCTTCTCTTGGATGAGCCAGAGCTTGACAGCGCCATCCGCCTGGGAGATATCTTAGGCTTCCTAGTGGAGCATCACCTGCAGACCCAAGAATTCCAGACGGTGAGTGATCCATTTACCATATGCTCCCTGCAAGACTGAGAACACCCTCACTTACATGCCTTTGGGAAACATCAGACCGTTCAGTTGTGAACATACTGAGTTCAAGAATACATCAATATTGATGCAGATATGTATATAGTTCCATAAGGCAGTGCTTCCTGAATCTCTCTAATAATATACTAATATACTTTATTTATATTCCACTCTATCTCCCCAAGGGGACTCAGAGTGAATTACAGAATATGGCAAACATTCAATCCCGTTATACAATTAACAACAAAGACAAGACAGTACATAGACAAAGGCAAAGCTTCCCTCTTTTTTTGTCTCTGGCATCTGGAGGCTTTGCTTGACTGGGCCATGGGGAGGTGCTGTTGTTCCATTTCTTCACATCGAGGACACCTTCCTGATCGAATTGCTGGCATGTTTTCTGGGGCACCTTTTACCTCCCCGGCAAGGTGGTACCTATTTATCTACTCACATTGCTGTTTTCAAACTGCTAGGTAAGCTGGGGCTGATGGCAGGAGCTCACCCCGACCCACAGCTTGAACTGCCAACCTTCTGGCTGGCAAGATTTTCTGTAGCTGGTGGTTTAACCCACTGTGTTAACTCTAGCATGCCAGGGAGAAACTGTGCCTTTTATATACAGTATTGACTCGCATCTCGTGCACCATTGAATCTAAGAAGCACCTTAATTTGCAAAACCCTAAAACGAAAAGAAGTATTTCTGCCAAATGTAATGTACAGTGGCAAAAAGGTCCCTTTTTGTCATTTGGCTATTAGAGTTGCTGCCTGAATAGGACTCTTCCTTTAAAAACAAGTCCTAGAAGACCAAAGCTTACAGCGATGGAAAAGAAAACCATGGGATGCATTTATGCTGTAGAATGAATCCACTTTAATTGCCTTGGTTCAGTGCTATGGAATTATGGGGCTGTATTTTGACAAGGCCTTGAGCCGTCTCTGGCAAAAGATGGTGATGCCTCACCAAACTACAAATCCCAGGATTGCATCACATTGATCTATGGCCATTAAATGAGAGATGAGGGGCTCCTGAAGCAGTTTCCCTTTTGGCTGAGATGACCATGTTACATGGATATAATGTGTACCTTAATTTTGGCGGGGCCATTTAGCCCAAAAAGGTGAGCATTAGAGGTGTACTTTTTTTCTACATACAAGGCTGAGGAGTACTCAGATATGCAGTTCTCCCATCTGATCCTGAATGGGAAGTCACACCTCTGAAGCAAAGCGAAACTGTGACCAGCTAGTGATGTAATATCTACATTGATATTGAATTTGTTTGGCTGGGTAGCAAAAATGAGAGGCAGAGAGTATTATTTGCGTGCAGTATTTGGACACCTTTTGCTACCACCTTTTGCATTTGTGGAGGGGAAACCAGAGGAAATGATGATGCTGAGCCACCTGGAATGATGATTCACTTGTTGAGAGCAGGAAGTGCTCAAATGGCCTTGTGTCAAATCGGGAAAGACAGAATGACAAGCTGCGAACAAAAAGGAACTGCTGTTCTGGAACAGCCAGGTGCTCCCCAGTCACTCCAGTTCAAGCCCCCAAACGGGCGTCTTTGATAGCATTTAACAGCAGCTCTTGTCTGCCGAGATGAAATACAACTACAGTTAGCCCTCAGACATTTAGGGGCGTAGGATCCCCATGATGGGAGAAAAATGGTGAATATAGGCTCGCTGGGACTTTTCTTTTTGCCTGAGATAACACTTCCCTTGGTATTCCTAGGTTCTACAGCACAATTCTGTGCTCCGCTTTCACCAGAACACAACCTAGGAATCACTGACAGAAGAGAAGAAACATGTCACAAACCTCTGTGCAACTAATGGAAGATGCTGTTGTCAGATTTAAGTGCCTATGAGGGAAAAGGGGTCATCCCATATTCTGTATTGTTTTATGTCTTTGCAATGTTCTTGCCTAAAAGACACAGATGGCTCAGGGTATTGCCAAGTGTTATAGGCAATGCTAAATTTCATGAGATCACTGCAAGTCGATAGGTAATTCAAAGGCATACTTTACTTTTTATTATACTGTATACTAAAGTTTCCAAGAGAAAAGAAATAATTGCAAACCAGGAGAAAAATGGACCATGCAGCCCTTTTTTGTGACAGGCAAGGCTTTCCCGCCCAACTTGTCAATTTTCTATTGATTTTTTTTTAAATGTTGCTTTGTTCAGTTTTGCAATGTGTGTGTCTACAAAACTGGAAGTGATTTCTGGTCATTTCCTATTTTAGAGCTAAAACATCTCAGAGCGGTGGGATGGGGATGTCAAAATTACCCCACCCCGAGGATGCAGGAGAACATTTTGTGTTCATAAAATTATAGAGTCCTTGTGTTGGAAGACACCTTGTGGGCCATCCAGTCCAAATCCCTGCCAAGAAGCAGGAAAATCGCATTCAAAGCCCACCCCCCACCCCCCAACAGATGGCCATCCAGCCTCTCTTCAAAAGCCTCCAAAGAAGGAGTCTCCATCACACGCCAGGGCAGAGAATTCCACTGCTGAACAGCTGTTGTTTTTATTTAAAACAAAAATGCTGGAGAGTGTCTATGAGGTTCTCCGTATGGCTCCTCCATCATGACTAGACCTTAAAGACACTTCTGTGAAATTCCAACTGTTATGGTAAGGGATGTAATATTACAAATAACCCAAAGCATCAAGGAAGATGTTTAAGTACTGTGCATGTTGATTTGGATTCCCTCTTTTTTTCAGTCACTTATTGGAACTTACAAACATTTCTAGGGGTTCATATTCTACATGAGTGTGGCTGCTTTTCCAATCCTTAGGACTCCTCCCCCCGTTTGCGGGATTCTAAATGTTACAAAATGTAGGGGTTGCTAAGACTGATGCATATGTTCATGCAGACAGAAATGTGCCACTGTATTGTAATGGCATACACTATATTAACACACACGCATACAAATACATTAGCCTAGTATTATGCAGCTTCTTGAAATATTGAATCTAAAGCAGGGGCATCCAATCTTTTGGCTTCCCTGGGCCACATTAACATCATCATCATCTTTATTTATATCCTGCCTTTCTCTCTGGATGGACTGAAGGCAGCTAAAAACTCCATAATCTAATAACAAACAGAAACAAAATAAATACAAACATTTTAAAAATAAGGAAATATTAAGAATTATCTTGGACTACACCATTGCAAAACTGAGCCATGATTTTGTGTTGGGCCACAAATAGCAAAAGCATATGGCGGGCAGACGAACTATGCCTAGTACATAATACACACTTTAATGTTTTAACAATTCATTTTATGCAACATTTATTTATTTATTTATTTATTATTTGAACTTATATGCCGCCACTCCCCTGGGGCTCGGAGCGGCTTACAAGAATTGCAGCAGAGTCCTCTTGCTCTTTAATTTACAAGTTAATTTTAACAGTTTTCACTTGCTTCTGGCCAAGCTGTTTGCAATTATAATGCGGACTATGGATAATACCCCAATATTTTTAGACGTAACGTACTCTGATTACACTACATAACATTTTTTCCTGTTTCTGCATTGAAGTTATTATTTCCTTTAATTGTGCGGTCCTTTGGAGGTAGTTGTTCTCTTCCAGAATCTTGGTTTTTGTGACTGCCACAAACTATGTTGAATTGGTTGAGACTCAATGGTGAGAGATTCATTGAAAAACTAGGGCAAAATGTGCTCCAGCATGTCCTTTCCTGCAGAAAGAAAGTTAAAAAAAAACATTTCCTATGTTTTTATGATAGACCCCATTAGGAAATGACATTTATAACTCAGGAACAAAAATCATGTTACATAGTGTCATTCCATTCCATTTGGTTGCTATCTACAAAGTTTGTGCTCCTTCATGATCTAAAGTAAGCAGGCCAAGTGTGATGGTGTGCATCTAACTTGTCAACATCCATCTGAATGTCACTCTCTGGGATGATTTCTCCATTCTGTCAAATTGAACGGACTCCTAATTTGGACCACTCTCGTTCCCAACTAGGCTTACCGGTACCTAGAAGAGATGCGGAAGAAGATCCCCTGTGTGAACCTTGGTTACTACGTCAGCCAGCAAACCATGGAGGCCGTCCACCGAGGGCTGGGCCTCCCGCCAAGTCGAAACCCGGCCCCGGAGAGGCTCCGCCACAACAGCCTGGAGGAAAAGGAGGTGGAGGAGGACGTGGCCGATGAAGCAGAGGCCTTCTGAAAGAAGAAAGGAGCCCGGCCTGGAGCTCTGAAACAGGACAGTCTTCTCATGTCATTAGGAAAAAACTGGGAGACAGGCTGGCCCCTCATCTTGCTTGGTCAGCCATCTTTTAATCTGTGTAAATTAATCTATATAATTGACTTGGCTCTTTTTAAAAAAAACACACATTTAATATACTTGTTTTATGCATTTTATATCAAATTACAAGATGGAAAGTTTTTGGAAATCATTCAGGACAAAGCATTGCTTTCATAAACCTCAAAATACCATTGGATCTTGATTATTATTTTTTAAGAGGGAGAAGGCTGGGTAGAAAAAGTTTAACATTAGTAATACTAATTTATTTTTTAATCTTTTAAGAAAAAAACATGTTTTCAGTACATTTTCTCTATCGGAAAAAGTTGAGGTGCTGGAGGAGAGGGACCGGAAATGGCCAAAAACCATATAAATGTAGGCTTCCTGCTGCAATAGACATGGAGGGTGGCTTCAGGGGTCTTGAATGTCCATGTTGCACAAAGAGGGGATGGTCATTTTTTAACCATCTAGCATCAAACTGACCATTTGTGTTTGTGGATTCCAGTTCTTTCACATATACACAAACAGGAGTTGCAGAAAACCAGTGACCTGATTAAGCAGGCTGCTCTTTTGTGCAAATTATCTGGGTCTCATGGTGGCATGGGACATAATTTCCACATCCGCTGTGTCAACATCCTACTCAACAGTTGTAGATATCCTGAACCATCAACTTAATCAAGATGGCAGCAAAAGGGCCTCCCCTTCATTAGGGAGGAGAGCTTTCGAGCCTTTTTTTCAGGTTTTCGACCAGGAGCAGGTTCTGCACCGCCAGCCTTCTGCTCTCACCATCTGGATCCTTCTCTGCAACATCTGCAAAAAAGAGGAGGCAAGAGACAAGAGGAGCAACTGTTTCTAGGAGATTTCTTTGAACAGGGACACAGACAGCAAAAGAAATGTATTCACCTTTCCCTATGCCATTCAAAGCTAAAAGAAATATATATTTGGCTGGAGTTACACTTCAAAAATGTCCCTGTTCTGACACATACAAATTCAACGTTCAGAACAAACCTACAGAACCTCTCTTGTTTTAACTTGGAGACTATCTGTAGTTGAAATGGCCAGTTTTTCTTTTTACAATAATAGATATGATGCATATTGTTGCATTTGAAATATTTCTGCAATTAGAACCAAGAAATGCACACCTATGGGATGAATTCACAATGCAAGATAAGAACGCCTCACCTGCCAACCAAAATCTGATTTCCAAAAGCTCCTCTGCCATGTCCTCAAGGAGATGCTCAGGAGGGAGACTAAGGACCAGGGAAGAAACACAAGAGAGGAGCCCTTGGCGCACGTATCTGCGGGGAGGAGGAACATTTGTTGGACGCATGCAGGGAAGAGCCATTTCATCACCAATAATAGATTCTCCCCCCCCCCCCCCCCCCCCCAACTTTTCATCTGCCTTCTGTTTTTCCATCTTCGCCAACTTATTCCTTTCAATATTATTGAAAATTAAACGGAACTCTCAGTTCAAGAGATTTCTATCGACATGTCACATAGGAAACAGAGACATTCCCATTAGAAAAATTACAGTAAGAAAAACTGCTTTTTTGTATGATCCCAAGAGTATACTCAAATCTGGATTGCAAATGCCAAATACATTTACTCAAGTCTCTTGTGCCATCGAATCTGGTGTGCACCTCAATTTTCAAAACCTTGAAACCAAAAACATTATTTGCTGCCGAATATAATATGCAAAAAGTGATAAACAGTGTACTCTTTGCCATTTGGCCAAAATGGTGTATATTACAGTCGCTGCCTGCTTAAAATTCCTTTTTTAAAAACAAAATTGTTGGAACACGAAAGCCTCCAGCAATGGAAAAGAAAACCTTGGAGTGCATCTATGCTACAGAACGAATCAATTTTAATTGCCTTGGTTAAATGCTATTAGATTTGAGTCAATAGGGGAATCAGTTTAAAAACAAGAGTCATTTCTGTAAATAAATGTAACTTCATTATTTTTTTATTTATTCTTCGTGTCGTCCGTGAAATGCGAACCTATGGGTTCTTCCTTGCGCATGCGCAGAAACTCGGAACATTTCTAAGTTAAAATGAATTAAAAATGATTATTTTGAGCCATATAGGCTCCGCCCATCTCCCCGCCCCCCGGATATATGCGCCAAGCGGCGCCGCCATTATCTAGTTCCTTTTTCCGCGCTAAACTAGCAGCATCTCGGAACAGCTTCTCCTCGATTTCTTTCATTACGGACTGATTTGGACTGATTTTTTGACTGACCGCCTGCCTCTCTCCAACCCTTGACTCGGACCGACTGACTACTCTCCTCTTCACCCTCAGGCTAGGATGTCTTCCCTCTATTTCAAAAATTGRTCAGCTTGCGGGGCCACCCTCCCCGAAGCTGATAGGCATTCAAAATGCCTCCTTTGCTTGGGGGAATCCCACAATCTCCAATCCTGCGAGATTTGCCTTAATTTTACTACAAGGGCTCGCAAAACAAGAGATGCCCGTTTAAAAGCTTTACTTTACGAGTGCGCTCTGGCTCCACAATCCCTCCCTACCCCCTCCCTATCCCCAATAATGGAGCCCTCTCAGCCTCTGGGGCGAACCCAGAATAGACCTATTTGCATCTCCAGTAAACAACCACTGTCCCCTCTATTGCGCACGACTCCACCCTCGCGCATCCCAAGGCTGTCTCGGGGACGCCTTCCTATTCCAATGGTCGCCCGGCCTCCTCTACCTCTTCCCACCGCTCCCTCTCCTATCCCCAGTCATAGCCAAAATAATCCAGGACAACGCGGACTGCATTCTAATCACACCCTGGTGGCCACGACAACACTGGTTTGCCCCCCTTCTCCAAATCTCCAACAACGAATACCTCCATCTCGGCCAAACCCCAGACCTTCTCACAGTAGAGAACGTCCTGGTCTTACACCCAGACCTGCAATCTCTACGCCTAACGGCGTGGAGAATCAAACCACACTAGTCCTTTCTGATGAAGTCTCCCGCATACTCTTGGCGGCCCATAAACCCGCCACTAAAAGATCATATGACTATAAGTGGTCCTCTTTCAAATCCTTTGCTCAATCACTGGGACACAACCCCATTTCTGCACCTATACCCTTGATTCTAGACTTCCTAGTCCACCTCTCCAACAAAGGTTTCTCCCTTTCTTCGGTGAAATGCTACCTGGCAGCAATTTCCTTTTTCCGAAGAAAGTCCGGTTTGCCGTCCCTTTTTCAGGACCATTTGGTACAATTATTCCTTAAGGGCTACAAGAATTTTAACTTAGAAATGTTCTGAGTTTCTGCGCATGCGCAAGGAAGAACCCATAGGTGCGGATTTCACGGACTGACACTCGAAGAAATACGGTTACAGGTAAGCAACCTTTATTTACTTGCTTACTATATTTATACCCTACCTTTCTCGACCCAGAAGGGGACTTTGGGGGGTTTACAGATAGGCAACAATTCAATGCCTTAACAACAATATACAATTAAACATTTAAATTAAGATCAAATTTGAAATACATTAAAACATTTTGAAAACATTACAATCCCTGTAAAACGATCTCATCCGCAATCATAATCCAGGTCATTTTGGTAGTCATTGCACATAATTCCAGTCCATCTATTGCACTATGGTTCTTTTCTGAATCATTTAATTCACAAGAACTAACTAGAGAAGGATGTGTGGCTTCAAGCACCCCTCGGTTTATATCCCTCAGGCTGGCTTCCACTTTTAATGGCCAGTTTTCAAAGTGCTGGGACTACTGATGGAGGGGATTCAAAGACAAGAGAAAGGGATAAAGAACACAAAATGAGTCCAGGCATTCAACTGTAATTCCTCAGCACTATACATGAAGCATTTCTTCTGACAGCCTGCCTAAACACCCAATAGCAACTCACGTATCTGTGTGGAAACGCAGCACCCAGATGAACTCCAATAGTGCCTTTCCCATTGCAGCTGCTACCTGCAAAAAGCAGATAAAGCAGAATTCCAGGAGGTTATGTTCAGCATCTTCAAGATCTCAAAAACCTGTACCCATATCCTATAAACATTGTGATTTTTTAATCCATATTTGGGAGGGGGTGGGGACGCTTCTGCATGTTGTCTTCATAAAGGCAAATTTGCTTCTTTCCCAGGCTGTTAGGTTCACGAAAAATGGAGCAGATGTCAGGATCTCTGCGGTCTAACTGTTTGCCCAAATCAGGGTCACAGTTTTTTTTGCTGATGGTACTTTATTGGTACGAATAGAAAAAGCAAATTATACATTACATTTAGGTTTTTTTTTTGGGGGGGGGGTTGTCGTGTCAGGAGCGACTTGAGAAATTGCAAGTCACTTCTGGTGTGAGAGAATTGGCCGTCTGCAAGGACGTTGCCCAGGGGATGCCCGGATGATTTGATGTTTTTATCATCCTTGTGGGAAGCTTCTCTCATGTCCCTGCAAGAGGAGCTGTAGTTGATAGAGGGAGCTCATCCACCTCTCCCCGGATTCGAACCTGCGACCTGTCGGTCTTCAGTCCTGTTTAACCCACTGCGCCACCAGGGGCTCCATTACATTTAGTGTCAGGACTGAACTCCAGACCACCATTTCTAGATTTATAAAGGCCCAGCATTTTGAAATTGGGCATATTACAGCCTTCATTGGCGAACATCCAGTTGTGTTCAAATACACATCTTGAGTGTCCATTTCTCCATGAATTGTGATATTGCAATTCTTTGTTCTCAGGCCTATCCTGGGAAAGGTCTACCTTATCAATCCTAGGGATAAAGCACTATTTTCTCACCTTTCATCACTGCTTAGCCTCCGCTTCCCAGCAGTTGTCAGTTCAAAAGGGAACAAAGTCAACCTCTGGGCCTAAAAGCTCACTGGGCCATAAACACAGCAGGACTGCCCTTCCCCACTCCCTAAGGACATTCACAAACACGAAGGAATGCCATGTTTGTGTTGGAATTCAACCCTGCACTGCTCAAGCCTGTAGTCCTCAATGAAAAGTAGATAGATAGAATTAAACTAGGCTGGGGGAATCCCTTCTTTCCCCCAAATTCCTGAATGCCGTTGTTGCGTCTGTTTTCTCTTCCCTAACAGTTTCTTGAACACCAAGTATCGGCACCCGACAGAACCCTTTTTAAGAGCATAATAGCCCTGTAAATCTCACCACAGTGTTGACAGCAAAATACATCAGAATGGCCAAGGTATGTGCCAGGCGGCCCAAGACCAGGTGATCGTCTCCCAGAAGGTCAAAGGTGCTTAGTGGCCTGGAATGTAGGAAGGGAAAGTGTTTCAATAGACCAGCAAGCCTCCATTGGCTACTACTCTGGGCTGCCTCCTTGCTTGGCTTTCACAATAACAATGGCCAATTGGCCATAGCTATTCTGACTCGAATGTGCCTAAATACAATCTGACAGACGTCTGATGGATGCAAGAGGAGGAAACACTGAATCAAAAAGCTGGAAGAGAGCACAAGGGCCATCCAATCCATTCCACCAGACACACAAAGAACTCCCAACAGATGACCCTCCAGCCTCTGCTTAGAAATCTCATACAGTGAGCGAGGCAGGTAAGTTTCAAAACAACATTGACAATCAAGAAATTCTTCCCAGCATTTAAGTGGAATTCGTTTTCCTGCCATTTGAATCCTTTGCTCAGTCTCTAGAGCTGCAGAAAACAATATTGCTCCTTCTTCAGCATGACATCAGTTCAGATACTGAAACCTGGTGACCATGTCTCCTCTTAACCTTCTCTTCATCCAGCTAAACATCCGGAGTTTCGGGGTGCGGTGTTATCTGTACGCAGATGACGTCCAACTCTGTCACTCCTTCCCACCTACTACTAAGGAGGCTGTTCAGGTCCTGAACCGTTGCTTGGCCGCTGTGTCGGACTGGATGAGGGCGAACAAATTGAAATTGAATCCAGATAAGACAGAGGCACTCCTGGTCAGTCGAAAGGCCGAACAGGGTATAGGGTTACAGCCTGTGTTGGACGGGGTTACACTCCCCCTGAAGACGCAGGTTCGCAGCTTGGGTGTGATCCTGGACTCCTCGCTAAGCTTGGAACCCCAGGTTTCGGCGCGGTGTCCAGGGGAGCATTTGCACAACTAAAACTTGTGCGCCAGCTGCGCCCGTACCTTGGGAAGTCTGACTTGGCCACGGTAGTCCACGCTCTGGTTACATCCCGGATTGATTACTGCAACGCGCTCTACGTGGGGTTGCCCTTGAAGACTGCCCGGAAGCTCCAGATGGTCCAGCGCTCAGCAGCCAGGTTGCTAACGGGAGCGGCACTCAGGGAGCATACCACTCCTCTGTTGAGCCAGCTCCACTGGCTGCCAATCCGCTACCGGGCACAATTCAAGGTGCTGGCTTTAGCCTATAAAGCCCTAAACGGTTCTGGCCCCGCTTACCTCTCCGAACGCATCTCCACCTATGAACCGACTAGGACATTAAGATCGTCTGGGGAGGCCCTGCTCTCGGTCCCGCCTGCGTCACAGGTGCGCTTGGCGGGGACGAGAGACAGGGCCTTCTCAGTGGTGGCCCCTCGGCTATGGAATGCCTTGCCGGCAGACATCAGACAGGCACCTTCGTTGCTGACGTTTCGGAGAATGGTCAAGACCTGGCTTTACGAACAAGCGTTTGGCTAAGCAATGCAACTAATTAAGGAAGTCGGTAAATGGAACATAGGAACGGCACAACGACTATGAGAACGGATCTGATTTCAATTGAGACGCTATGTATGTTGTTTGTTGATTTGTCCTGTCTGATTGTTAATTGTTGTGGATCAACGTCGCCGATCCTGTTGTTGTACTGTCGTGTTTTAATTGCACTGTAAACCGCATTGAGTCGCCTGCTAAGGGCTGAAAAATGCGGTATAAAAATGAAGCAAATAAATAAATAATAAATAAACATACCCAGCTTCCTAAGCTGCTCCTCAAGACCATTTGCCATTTTGGTCTCCCTTCACTGGACTCGTTCTAGCTTAGAGGCGATATTTCTCTTGAATTTTGTTGCCCAGAACCAGAGTGAGTTCTGACCAAAGTAGAATAGACTAGTTTTGTTACTTCCTTTGATCGAGACCAGACCTGGTCAAACTTTGGCCTACCATCTATTAGGAATTGTGAGAGTTGGAAGTCCAAAACACCCGGAGGGAGGGCCAAAGTTTGCCCAGGCCTGATCTAGACACAGTCCCTCAATCCATGTGGGCTAGAATCACATCAGCTCCCTTAGTTGTCACATCACATTGTCTGTATTCAGTTTGGAATGCTACTAACTACAGTACACAGGGATTAAGAATCCAGTGATCAGTTCGAAAGAATGCTGAGAAACAGATAAGTACACAATGGACAATGGTGAAATCCAGACTACAACATGTTGATAAGTCCCGCAGGCATCCTTGGCTGCAAACATTCACACTGAAGTTGTGAGGAACCTCCACAAATCCAAACCGGCACTTGAAGGGTGGGTGGTCTTACCTGTCAAAGTTCTGAAGAAGTGGGAAGAAGAAATGGCCGGCAACAGGACCAAATCGATTAGGTGCACATCGTGGCTCTGCTTGGGACCGGCCCTGTGTTTCAAAAAAAGAGAAGCGTTGGACAAGAAACAGAACACAGAGACCATTATTTGCCTAAGATCACAAGCTTTCACAGCCATGTCTCCATTTCCTTGTGAGGAATTATCCTGCATTTGCCTAACTGCTGCCTTGTTCCCTAAGCATTTCCAAAATACAACAATTTATTATCTAGCAGGAAACATATCAAGGACTGAAAGAGTCTCTAGATTCATATACTCAGGTTAAATTGGATTTAGTCAGGATTTATAGCACAGCAGTGCCAACTCTCTGAAAGAAGAAGCCTGTTCGTGTTGAGGCATGGAAGCAAGGTAAAGACTAAAGAGTCGATTCATGTTTCCCCCCCACCCCCAATAAAGGGGGGAATTGACCTAGGAAGTTCCTTTCCCAAGAAGAAGGCAGACAAACAGACAGGGAAAGAAAGAAGGACTCTGGGAACCAAGCTATGGAAAAACACCTGGAGGGAGGTATGGAAGGAAAGATCGGTTTCTCTGACTGTCTTCTTCACCAACCCAGCAGCAACTAACTGTCAAAGAGGCACACAGAAATGCTAGGCCTCCTGGCCTCTCACCTTTGCAAACCTCCGGGTCTTGTTTTTGATCCTCTCATCCACAACTTTTTGCCAATCAGAAGAAGAACTCCCACTAAACTGAATCTGGCTGCCATCGCTTGGGGGAGGTTGCTTTGAGTCTGGAGACACTGGCTGAGAAAGTTCCTGAGCCGCCATGGTCAGCACCTGGGCAAAGGGGAAAAAACAGCCGTGTATGTCGAGGGTCTGGAAACACTCGACATACGTCCCAACACCCAAGAAAAGGGATGCCAGGGATTTTGCAGCAGTGTTAATCTCCCATGCGAGCCAAGCAATGCACAAAACACTTTGGAAAATGGAGGACACAATGGGATCCAACTGGCAAGCAGAGGAAGGCGAGGGCTCATTTCCTCACCCTATCATTACTCTATTGTACTTGTACATTGAATGCATCACACACAAAGTGGAAAAACTCTCTCAAGAAGGTGGCATGAAAAGAAGCGGAAAATACCAAAAACTAGCAGAAAATACCAAAGACTTGGTTGATTACTAAGGAAAGACAAGGAAGAAAGTGCCAAGGCAGGCAGGTTGAAAGACAAAACAAAAATAACCACCATAGATTTATTTAGATAAATTTAAAGTAGGCACTGAAATAGTCAGGATTTCCTATAACTTGGTTCAGCCATCAATCTGCATGGAGAGTAGAGTCAAGAAATCAAAATACTAGGACTTGGACAATGTCCTGAAGTTTTGTTGTTGTTGTTGTTACTATTATTAGTAGTAATAATAATAGTAGTAATAATAACAATATTTTTCTCTCTAAGAAAGAGACTCAAATGGCTCACAATAAACAATTATCACTAAATACCAAAGTCAGGATGGTCCACACCATTGTATTTTCGATTTCTATGCCTACTTGTGAAAGCTGGACAGAGAAAAAAACGGTAAGAAAATCATCTAATTTGAAATTTGGTGCTAGATGGAGGGTTCTAAGGATAACACAGACTGCCAAAAAGACAAATAAATGGGTCCTAAAGTAAATCAGGTGCCCCTGGTGGCACAGTGGTTTAAACTGCTGAGCTGCTGAACTTGTTGACCAAAAGGTTGCAGATTAGAATCCGGGGAGCGGTGTGAGCTCCCGCTGTCAGTCCCAGCTTCTGCCAACCTAGCAGTTCGAAAACATGCAAATGTGAGTAGATCAAATAGGTACTGCTCCGTCAGGAAGGTAACAGTGCTCCGTGCAGTCATACTGGCCACATGACTTTGGAGGTGTCTACAGACAACGCTGGCTCTTTGGCTTAGAAATGGAGATAAGCGGCAACCCCCAGAGTTGGACATGACTGGACTTAATCTCAGGGGAAAACCTTTACCCTTTAGCTTTAAAGTAAACCAAACCTGAATTCTCCCTTGATGCCAAGATGACTAAGCTGTAACTATCATACCAGGGACATATCATAAGAAGACATGATGTACACCTTTGTGGCCAGAGCAGAAACTATTTTTTTCTAATTGTTTTATACAGGCAGGTCATCTTGATAAGTAAATCAATCTCTGAGCTCCTACATCAACTAGCTCTTGTCCAATATTTTACTAATGTGAGGGGAATGTGCTGAAAAATGAAGTTGGGACAACTAGGGTCACTTACATCCAAGATGTCCATCCGCTGGCGGAGGCTATAATTCAAGGAGTAGAACTCAGAGGTCAGATACTGAGCCACCTAGACAGCAGGGAACAAAAACCAATTCAGAGATCTGTCCTGATGCCAATAAACTAACAAAGCAACACAGAATACATTCTGAACTACCAAAATACATCCTTTAACTCCAATAGTCATTGAACCCCAAAAGTGTGAGGACTCACTGGGATTGGGTGGATGACAACGATGGCCGCCATGGCACTTTGCCGAAGCCCCACAAAGCCTTCGATGTAGCTTTTCTCTTCCAAATGCAGCAATACTTTTGCCAGTTCCACACCCATCTAAGCAACAAAAAGAACATAAAATCTTATGTTATAATACATTCTAAACTGGTGCTGAGCAAATGACCAGTGCTCTCACTGATGTGGGGCACTTTTGTGGCACAACAGACAACTGTCACCCTTTCCTAAAGGAAAAAGCCTGCTCTGAATATCTTGTACCGGAAGTCCTGCTTGCAAAATCTCATTTACAGACTTCTGCCAATCCTACAACAACTGGGTTGTTGTATGTTTTCTGGGCTGTATGAAGATGCCTGGATCCATGGCAGGCATCTTCAGAGGTTGTGAGGTCTGTTGGAAACACCCTGTGAAATGTCCAGGATGGCCAATTGCTACATCCACACCTACTCAGACAAGAGTTCTTTCTCCCACCCTGGATATTTCAAAAATATATAAACCCAATTTTCGTAGTTTCCAACAGACCTCACAACCTCTGAGGATGCCTGCCATAGATACAGGTGAAACGTCAGGAGAGAATGCTTCTGGAACACGGCCATACAGCATGGAAAACACACAACAACTCAGTGATTCCGGCCATGAAAGCCTTTGACAATAGTAACCAATAACATTGTTATCATGGCTCTAAAGCAGACCTGAAATCAAAATCCAGGAGCAACCAACAGGAAGAAAGGTGCATTTACCTCCTGCACGGCTGCTGCATTCTTTCGGATCAGAGTCTCCAGGACAGTCATCGCAGCTTCATATTTGTCGGCATCTTCAGGCCCAGTCAAGACTCAGGAAAACAAAAGGGAAGAGACCAATTACGAAGCAGAAATCTGAATGGCTGTAAAACAACAACATCCTGTGTCCAGAGGAGGCTGGCCCCAGATTATCTTCTTATTCCAGACTATCTGGTAGTGGAGACTCATATAATCCAGTTTAAAGCCGATAATCCAGGAACAGATCCTGGGATATAGGGCAGTGTAGAAAGGGGCCTATATTTAGCCAGGTGAAGCAAAGCTGAAAAGATGGCATGATGATAGCATTGCTCTTACCACGTGAACCCACACATTCTCACGCTGCCTAACCCCTTATAGGATTTCCTTAAAGCCTCCGGTGGCGCAGCAGGTTAAATGGCTGAGCTGCTGAACTTGCTGACCAAAAGGTCAGCAGTTCGAATCTGGGGAGTGGCATGAGCTCCCGCTGAGAGCCCCAGCTTCTGCCAACTTAGCAGTTCGAAAACATGCAAATGTGAGTAGATCAATAGGTATTGCTTTGGCGGGAAGGTAATGGCGCTCCATGCAGTCATGCTAGCCACATGACATTGGAGGTGTCTATGGACAACGCTGGCTCTTTGGCTTAGAAATGGAGATGAGCACTACCACCCAGAGTTGGATACAACTAGACTTAATGTCAAGGAGAAACCTTTACCTTTACCTAAAGACAATACAAGAGTCATTTAAGCTACCCCAAGCCTCTTGAACAAAAAGTGGAATAGAAACATGATAAATAACAAAATTTGTAAGAAAATAAACAACACTTCAAACATCCTTCCTCTAATATCTTACTTTCAAGACAGTCTCGAAGGTAGGTGGGAGCCTTGGTTTTTTTCAGTTCTTTGTCATGGGACATGTCATACGGAAGAAGCTCGTCGTCACTGGGGAGAAGAAAAAAGACAGAAAAATCCCCGAATGTGGTTCAAATTATTTCCCAAACTCTGCTTAACTTTACATGCAGCCTGTAAAGGTTCTGCAACATAGTTGTGCTGCTACTGAGGAGAACGAAATTATTTTGGTTGCATACCTATCAAGTTCGGAGTCCGTTCCTTGAGCCACTTCTTTAGATGCAGCAGGGACTTCTTTCATGCTGGGCTTCGGAACCTCTCTTGGACCTGCGGCTGAGATACCGTTCCTACAGCAGCCCCCAAAGAGAAGTTTCTATAACTTTCAAAAGTGGTATTGTCATTTTGAAGAACAATCTAGCGCTCTCTTGGGCTGGAAAGCGGGATCCATGTTTTTCATATTTAACACAGCATGCCACTTAAATCAAAGATCCTCGACTTGTTATATGAGGATGCTTTTGCCTAATCATAATGTGGTTGTCTATATCCAAAGCGCTTCTTGCTTAATCTATACACATAATAAAAGTGAAAATACATATATGTGTGTCTACAGACAAGCCCATGCCTTCACAGTTAGAGCTCCCACTACTCAGGAGACACCAATGGCCCTCCCTCCAATGACATTGCAGGTTATAGTGAGCGCCATGAACATGTCCAAGAGCCCTGCCAATGCCCTCCACAAGCACCATACTGCCCACCACCCAAGTGAAGTCTTTCATACAGGGACAATTTCATCCTAGATTTCATGTGTTCCTCCACCACAGACATCCCAATGTTTCTTACTCTCTCAATTGGTGTGGAATTTGCATGACCCCGCCCACTGCCTCTTCCTTAACCTTTCCTGTTCTTTTCTATGGCACACAGTAAACAGAGGAATTGAACAGCAACTGAACATACTAGAGAGGATTGGGGAGAATTCACCATGATTTATAAGAGTTGTGGGTACTGGGATGTATAGTTCACCTGCAATCTGAGAGCACTCTGAACTCCACCAATGATAGACCTGGGATTAATTTGGCACACAGAAACCTCATGACCAACAAAAAATATTGTAGGTCTTTGGAGGGATTTATAGGAGTTGTAGTTCAGATACATCCAGAGGGCACTATGAATCCAAACAATGATTGATCTGGGCCAAACTTGGCATGTATACCTGATATGCCCAAATTTGAACATGGGTAAGTTTTGAGGGGAATTGGCCTGGACATTTTGGAGTTGTAGGTACTGAGATGTATAGTTCATCTGCAATCAATGAGCACTCTGAACTCCACCGAAGATGGAATTGGATCAAACTTGGCACACAGAGCCTCCATGACCAGCAAAAAATACTGAAGGTCTTTGGATGAATTTCACCTTGATTTGGGAGAGTTGTAGTTCACCTACATCCGGAGAGCACTGTGAACGCAAACACTGATGGCTCTGGGCCAAACTTGGCACACATACCCGGAATGCCAAAATTTGATTACTGGAGGGATTTGGGGGGAACTGGCCTTACTTTCTGGGTAGTTGGAGTTTGCCCACAACCAGAAAAACTGTGACCTCCACCAATGATGGGCCTGAACCAAATTTGGCACACAGGACCCCCATGATGATCTCAACCTCCTTGAGGGATTTGAGGGGACTGACTCACTGTGGTGGGAGTTGTAGTGTACCCTACAGTGAAAGAGCACACTGGACACCACCAATGATGCATCTAGAGCAAACTTGCCCAACGTAACAAACTTTAAGTTTATGATGCCTGTCATAGATGTGGGTAAAACGTCAGGAGAGAATGCTACTGGAACATGGCCATACAGCCAGAAAACTCACACAACCCAGTAAAGCAAAAACTACCTGTGCTTTCTGTGTTGCCTCAAAAAATCTGCAAGACAATCAAAGGCTTACTTGATACTTGGTGTATCACTGACAGTTGTTTCATCAGGTTTTTCTGTCACCAACGATTTTAGTTCTTTGATTTCATCATCTTCTTCATACTCATTAAAAAAAAAAAGAAAGTCAATATTAGCTAGGGAAATTAGCAAAGTAACAGCCTACATCCCAACCAAAGAAATACAGACATTATCTATCTTTCCCTCCCCAGTCTTGAAAGTTGGGATAAGGCAGCTAAAATACCTTGAATATTTGTTTCTTTTCATAACAGAGAAAACCTTTTTCATGACAGAGAAAGCCTTCCCTCTGTCAGCTTACCTGGAATTTCAAGGCAGGGCCTTCAGGTGTAATCTTCTCGCTAAGGCATTCTGCCACAACCATTCCCATCAAGCGGATTCGGGGTGAATTGCTGTCCAGATGACATTTCATCCCTTCCATGAAGCTTGTGAGTAGTTCTGGGAAGAAAGAAGGCAATCCAACAAGTTCAGCACAAAACGCAGCCACTTACAATGAATTAGCCAGATGAAATACGCAAATTCTATGCCTCAAAGTCAGGCATGGGCAAACTTCAACCCTCCAGGTGTTTTGGACTACAACTCGCAGAATTCCTAATAGCCGGCAAGCTGTTAGGAATTGTGGGAGTTGGAGTCCAAAACACCTGGAGGACCTAAGTTTGCCCATGCCTGCTGTAACTGGAATAACATAAAATCAGAGCTTATAAAAGTTAATATTTTGAACTACAACCCCTCAGAATTTTCCCACCAAACATTCTTGATGTCTTAAAAGTAACTTTCCAATTTTTTTTTGTGTGTCAGGAGCGACTTGAGAAACTGCAAGTCGCTTCTGGTGTGAGAGAATTGGCCGTCTGCAAAGACGTTGCCCAGGGGACGCCCGGATGCTTTGATGTTTTACTATCCTTGTGGGAGGCTTCTCTCATGTCCCTGTATGAGGAGCTGAAGCTGACAGCGGGAGCTCATCCATGCTCTTCCCAGATTCAAACCTCCGACCTTCAGTCCTGCTGGCACAAGGGTTTAACCCATTGCGCCAAGGAGGCTCCTAACTTTCCTATGCTTTGTGCAGAACCCACACAGCACAGCCCTACGTCAATACAACTACGATATATTCAAGTTTCAAAAGTACTTCTATGACAGTTACTTGGTTTGGTCAGACATTTTATGAAGCTGAAACACAACCAGATAGTTTTGCCTCGGCATCAGAAATAAAAATATATTTCCTGCCATTTTCAACAACAATTACTTTCCACATGATCAAGCTTCCACATTCAAAGGATTGATCATGCGATGGGAGAACAACGAAGCTCACATATTCAGCAATTTCTCACTGATGGGACCACACAGCATAGGCACAGATGCAAGAGCCTGGGACTAGTGCTGCATTTTGGACTGAAACCCCCCAAATGCTTGGAGCTATCATGCAATAATAATCATAATCATAATCACAATGTCATAAGATACACTGCTGGCATCATAAACTGGACACAGGCAGAACTGGACAATTTGGACAGAAAAACAAGAAAACTCATGACCATTCATAATTCACTACATCCTCGCAGTAATGTTGACCAGCTCTATCTGCCTAGAAAGTCTGGTGGCAGAGGACTTTTACAAGTAAAACAAGAAGAAAATCACGCCCTGGCAGAATATGTAAAGGAAAGCCAAGAACCTAGTTTTGAATTGCATTCAATAATTGGAAACTTCTCAAAGCACAGCAGACAAAGAGCCAGTACAAGAAAACTGAACTTCAAACCAGAGCTGACAGCTGGCACAATAAAGCATTGCATGGGCAGTTCCTTGACAAAATTGAAGGAAAAGTCGACAAGGAGAAGACCTAGTTATGGCTCATGAATGGAACCCTGAAGGAGGAGACAGAAGGTCTGATTCTTGCAGCCCAGGAGCAAGCCATCAGAACCAATGCCATTAAGGCCAGGATTGAAAAATCATCGGATGACCCAAAATGCAGACTGTGCAAGGAAGTGGATGAAACCATGGACCATCTCCTCAGCTGCTGCAAGAAAATCGCGTAGATGGACTACAAACAAAGGCACAACTCTGTGGCCCAGATGATTCACTGGAACTTATGTCACAAGTACCACCTACCAGCAGTAAAGAACTGGTGAAATCATAAACCTGCAAAGGTTGTGGAAAATGAACACGCAAAAATACTGTGGAATTTTTGAATCCAGACTGACAAAGTTTTGGAACACAATACGCCAGACATTACGATTGTGGAAAAGAAAAAAGTCTGGATTATTGATGTCACCATACCAGGTGACAGTCGCATTGAGGAAAAACAACAGGAAAAACTCAGCCACTATCAAGACCTCAAAATCGAACTGCAGAGGCTCTGGCATAAACCAGTACAGGTGGTCCCAGTGGTAATCGGCACACTGGGTGCCGTGCCAAAAGATCTCAGCCAGCATTTGGAAACAATAAACATTTACAAAATCACGATCTGTCAACTGCAAAAGGCCACCTTACTTGGATCTGCGCGCATCATTCGAAAATACATCACACAGTCCTAGACTGGAAGGAGAGTGAAGACCTGCCCACAGCGTGGTGTCAACAATCCCCTCTTGCATAGTGCCATCTTGCCCTATCTCTTTTCTATTTTCTATTTTTGTTTTACTTTTCCCTCTTTTGATTAGCGAGTGTAGTAGATATAGTCAGCTGTATGTTGTATGTTGTGTTGTGCTGGTTGTGTTGGGAGATAAAGACTATATAGGAGAATATACATAGGAGTTAGATTGCATAGGACAGGGTTAGATAGGTGATTTGTATGAAGTGCCCAAGAGAGTCTATGAGCCTGATTGTTGAGATAGAAATGTGATTGCATTGGAAGGTTGTATATGATTTATGTATGTGGTTATGGTGTGGAAGCGTGTGGGTGTGTGCGTGGGTTAGAGAATCACGGAAGTAAGGGGAGTGGGTGTGGAGTTGTGAATGTTGGAGGTGTGGATGAGAGAGAAGTAAGTTGAATGTGAGTGAGCTTGGGTGACTGTGGGGTGATGTGAGCTGTTGCTTGAGTAGGATTAATATAGGAGTAGAGATATGGCTCCAGTCCTTCCTGGAGGGCCGATCCCAGATGGTGAAGCTGAGAGATGCCTGCTCGGACCCCTGGCCTTTGACCTGTGGGGTCCCGCAAGGCTCTATTCTGTCTCCCATGCTTTTTAACATCTACATGAAACCGCTGGGAGAGGTCATCCGGAGTTTTGGAGTTAGGTGCCATCTCTATGCAGATGACACACAACTCTACTACTCTTTTCCACCTAATTCCAAGGAAGCCCCTCGGGTGCTGGACGAGTGCCTGGCCGCTGTGGCTGTCTGGATGAGGAGGAACAAGCTGAGGATCAATCCCGACAAGACAGAGGTCCTCCTGGTCGATCGTAAACCAGATCAGGGTATAGGGTGGCAACCTGTGTTGGACGGGGTTGCACTCCCCCTGAAGTCACAGGTCCGCAGTTTGGGTGTCCTCCTGGACTCATCACTTACGCTTGAGGCTCAGGCGTCGGCGGTGGCCGGGAGGGCCTTTGCACAATTAAGACTTGTGCGCCAGCTGCGATCGCCAAGGTTGATTTGGCCGGGGTGGTCCATGCCTTGGTCACCTCTAGATTGGATTACTGTAATGCGCTCTACGTGGGGCTGCCCTTGAAAACGGCTCGGAAATTCCAACTGGTCCAACGGGCGGCGGCCAGGATGTTAACTGGTGCTCCTTACAGAGAGAGGTCAACCCTCCTGTTTAAGGAGCTCCATTGGCTGCCGTTTACCTACCGAACCCAATTCAAGGTGCAGGTGCTTACCTACAAAGCCCTAAACGGTTTGGGACCTGCCTACCTGCGTGACCGCATCTCCGTTTATGAACCCACGCGCTCCCTTCGTTCATCCAGAGAGGCCCTG